TCACCATGCGGCGGAGTTTGGCCTCGTCCCCCCGAAGCTCCAGGCTGTGGTTGGTGTTCGGCTGGGCAGGAGCCTTTGGGCCGTGGCAGGCGCGTTGGGTGCTCGGTGCCCGCTTGTGTCGCTTTGCGGTGGCCCAACACCCTGAAATCAACCATCGCCCAGCGTGGGGATCCTGCCTTCGTTTCAAGGTGGCTTTTTGTCAATTAGTTCATCTGTTCCATGCTTCAAATTCCGTGGTGTGTTTTCTCTGTTCCTTAGCTAGAGAAAATGGTTACTCTGTTCTAGTTTATGTTTTTGAGCTCTGCAAAAGGAGTTACAGAAAAGCACTCAAAGCTAAGCCACCGTCTTCATTAAAATTAATTGTATGTACAAGTCTCTGTATACAGAGTAAGATCTTGATGAAATGCTCAACCATATGGTAAGGACTCATTCTAGATGACATGTAAAATTTACTGAATTCTAATAAACTGTATCAACACTTGAGAACAGTTTACTTAACATTGGAGAGCTGTGTAAGTTCACTGCAGCGTTTGTTGGAGTTGTTCCCTAATCATTCTGGGTTAAGTGGTTGCCTACACGAATAAAATACATTCTGAGGGCTTGTTCTATTATTGAACTGATTGCTATTAAAAAAAAATAAAATGGCAGTGTCCTTTCTTTTCTATAAGAGGTTTATTGAAGCTGATACTCAAAATGTGTGACTAGTACAAAGGTGAGTGATTGTATCCAGTTATTTAACATGCATGAAGTGTTTACTGAATGCTATTAATTAAGATATAGTCACCGATATTGCAAGTTCTTGGAGATTATATGTATATAAAATGTGTGCTCTTCTTTTTCTTAGCCTGGTCGTTTTGAAAGAACTATCAGTATGGAAGATAATGAGATGAGTTATAGTGAGGAAGAAGAGCAAAAATCTCTTCTGCCGTTTCAGGAAGAAGAAGAAGACAAAGCTGTTCATTTCTCTAATGTGGAAGAACCCTGGGAAGGTGAAAATAATGAATTGTTTTGATAACTCACAAAATCCTAACATTAATGTGTCTTCTGATTTAGTAGGCGGGCTCAGTACAGTTCTGGGGTTGAATGATGTTGCAGGTAAATGCAGTGATTCCAGTAGGCGTTCTCTAGCGTTACGCTACAGAGCTGTAACTAATCCACATCAAACCCGTTATTTCTATAGCAGTAAATTCTCTTTTTAACTCTGTAAGGCCTTTTGATTCAGAGTTATTGATGGTAAAGATCTAGTATTTGACAGGATGGACTTGATTCAGTTGTTCATATATTGGTATTTAATGCCACTTGAAGTGTGCTAGAGTCTCTCGTCTGGCTCCAGAATGGCATAGGCCTTCCACAGATTGAACTCTGTGAAGAGGTTGGATGCCCTAAGACATCTAAATTTGCACCAGATACCTCTTAATAGGCAGCCAATTTCTCTAACTGTGTCCAAAAATATGTTTCAGTATATTATATGAGGCAACATATCTGCCAATTCACAGATTATCATGTATGGTGAGTGCCGAATACCGATCTTTTTGTTAGAGAGTTCTTAATCTATTCTTTTCTCATTGTCATTTTCTTGATCGCGTAAATACTTCACCAAAAATTTTCTACCTTCACAGTACAGTAGGATAAGGTAGTGTAAGATAATCAAATTAAAGTGTTGGCCAAAACCTGTCAATACATTAGCCTCCCCTGCTGTGTTTTTTGATCATGGTTTTTTTTCCACATGAATTGGATCGTTGGTGACACTTCCATAAGGAAGGCAGAGAGCATTTTCCTGTTTCGGTCTGCAGGTGTACAATAGTAGTCCTGTGTGGTTTGCCATGTGAATTTTTTTTATGTATGCTGCAGTAATGCTATAAAAAGTCACCTCTGATTCTTCACTTTTTAACTTGACAGCAAGTATACTACAGCTTTGCATTTTTAAAGTTCAAAGTTTATATTAAACTGTTGTTTTAATATCTGTTAGAATACAAGCTTGAAGAAGAGTTGCCTGGTGGCAGCAAGATGGGAAACAAGGATGCTTCTGAAGGAGTTCAAGACAAATCTGATTCTAGCGTGTAAATAACTTGTTTTGTTACCAGTTCTAACAGTAATTCCCTTTATAGTGTTAACTTACCTTTCAAGTGGAGGTCTGGTTAATTCAACTATGCATTTTTTGTCAAATTAGTCGTAGGCAGCACAGACCTTTCCACAAAACCCACATGAAATAGGTTGCTACTGTTAAAACAGTGAGCTGAGTAAGATGGACTCTGGAGACTTTTTGATCTGAAGCCAGTGTGGGTATGTACGTACAACACAGTGAATGCACCACATTAACGTGGGCTAATTGGCTCTCTTCAAAGAAGTGTTACACTAACCAATTTACACTTCCTCTAAAACCCAGCCAGCCATTGTTACATATTATTGTAATAATATGTAGTGTTGTGTTTGTGTCCCTCTGTACTTGTAGAACATCAGGAGCTGTTGGAAAAAGAAGTTTGTCTGCTGAAAAATATCAGTGTTGCATTTTAAGGTTTTTAATATATACAGAGTTTTGTACCACTGTGTAAAGTCAATTAGCACAGGATTGGTATGATGATAGGTTGATTTTACAAGTAGGTGGTACAGTGGGTTTATTCCTGAAGAAATGAATTTACATGTAATGGAGGTCATGCATGAAAAGGAATTTGGTGATTTGACTGTGGCCTTATGTAGTTGCTGCTGTCTTCCCAAAGATCAAAGCACAGTTTGGCTTCCTTTGACAAGGCTGTTAATCTCTGCCCTGGAATGACCTGCCATGGGGTTATAAGGCATGATGAAAAGCTCAAATAATGTTTATTAATATACGTACGTGGGAAGTTGCATAGCACATATGCCTACTGCCAGTAGATGTTGGCAGTGTTACTGTTATCAACAGAGAAACTCAAAATACACTAAAATGATTTAAAAAAATAAAACAAACAAAACCAGACCAAACCTTCAGACCTCTTCTTGCTCTGTGTTTAAGCAGACCAAAATAAGAGAGATTAGCTCACCTCGCAAACTGGTCAGTTGTGTATAATATGTTTTAAACTAGTTTAGAATATTCCCTTTAAAGTTTAAATTATTCTTCAAGGAAACTAGAATTTGCAAACCCTAGGTATAATCAAGAGGAGCTGCAGGCATTTCAGAACATAGACATATAATTAGTGCGTTAAATGTGGCTATAAACATTCAACGTTAGATATCCAAGTCTAAAAATCTTGGTTTGTGTACATGCATGTAAACTTCTTGTACAGATTATGTTAATTTTTTCCTTATTTATACTGGTCGTATTTATAACAGTTCTGCTAGAATAAGAGTAAAATGTAAAACAGCCCACGAATGCATCTGTGGATGACGTACAAACTTTGTGTAACTTTTCAGTTTCTCATTAAGTTTTAATTGTTAATTGTGTGTTTCAATCCAAAGGGAAAGCTTGGAACGCTGTTTGGGCAGCATTAGTAATATGCAGGCTCTGAAGCCTACAGATAGAATTTGCTCATTAACCTTACAGAGGAACCTCAAAGAGCTCAACAACATAGCCAAGGAAAAGGAACTTGAGGTCCGAGAAGCCAGGTTCGTGCTTAAGCGAGCATAATTCATCAGCAGAAGTCACCATCAAATAGTGGGAATCTGTATCTGTTATAGATATTAGAGTTTGTAAAATTTTTTCATGAAAGTTGTCTGATGCAAACATTTGTTTTAAAGTAATATATTCACTATATACCCAAGCCCTCATAAAGAATTAAGGATCAAAGATAACAATTAATTATTTGAAGAAACGAAGCACAATAATGAATGTTAAAGAAGAGGTGTTTGGTCTGGGAGAGTTAGATGCTAATTCCTTTCAGTGATGTCTGCGCAATCCTGCTGGTTCGACAGTTGGAAACATCAAGTGGAAAATTCATTGTAAACACTTTCTGAACTGTGATGGAAATGGTACATTGGAATTGGTGAAGTTACATACTTTAATCTAAGCACCTGCTGTGAGTGTTTTGCGCTGTTAAAGTCACAGAGGTGTTCTTCAGCAGCAAATGTATCTGAAGAAGGCTAATGCGAAAAGATGCTGTTTGGGCTGTTGTCATTTTTGATAATATCTGAACTGTGGATGAAGTCAGAATAAACTCATGTTACATTTTTCTGGATTCATGGGGAAAAGGTTTGAAATGAACAAGGGCTTCTGAAAAACGTCTTAAGATCCTAAAATAAAAAGCAGGATGGGGGCGGGGGGGAAGCATTGAAAGAGTCCTAGCTAAGAATCTTGCCCCCAAAAGGAAGCATTTCATGGGAAAGAGAAAAGCAGTTACAAAATCAAAATAATTCGTTTGTTTCTTGCAGAGACAAGCTGAGTACCTGTCAGCTGCGGATGCAGATGCTGGCAAAGCAGCTGGAGTATGTAGACATTGAAATAGAGAAAGAGGAGGCGGCTGGCAATGTGTAGGTGGAGAGTGTTTCTGGATACCAAAGACTGCAGGCATTCACTGTGCTTGTCTGTGTAATTACTGAGATAAACTTTCCTGTTTTCATCTCTTCGTGTTGTTGAACAGTTGACTGAATTTTTAAGCATGTACGTTAAGATGTGAATAGATCAGTGATGAAGCCCATTGCCATTCTCTGGCTAAGATGTAACTGTGTTGGCTTGGAAGGTGTTCTGATACAAGAGCATTGCGCTTCCAGCTAGTGAGCAATGTGTTCACTCCCACGCTGGTGGACACTAATATGGCAGCCACTTGTTGTTTGATGTATTTCCAGCAATAATTCATCCTTTTGAAATAAAGAATAGTGGTGTATTGGCTTGGGGATCATTGATCCCTAGGCTTTCTGGTCTAGAGGTAATATTCTGTTAGGTAAATCGGTGTAGAAAGAGGTGGAAATGTAGGAATGGATAGGAAAGAGGTATGTATTTCAAAACAGAACAATAACAGGTTATTAAATCAGCCTAGCCCACTACTGTCAGTTGTAGTTATCAGGGTCTCAATCACTTGTATTCAGTATGATGAACCAACACCAAGGTGCTGTGGCAGTTTTGGAGGTCATGGTTTTGCTTCTGGTAACTATTACAATCAGGATATATATGTATATATATATATATGCCATTTCTTTCCCTGTTAGTTTTATGTTGTGAAATGCATGAATGCCTTTCAGGAGTAGCCCTGCATACAGGAGCTGTTCTGAAACACTTTTCGTGTAAAGTGGGAGGCAATTTACTGTACCCTTCACATTTGGTTTAAATAGAAAGAAGTGGGTGGCTTGTGTGCCAGGAACCGGTGTATTGTGAGCAAACTTCGCAGCTGCATTTTATGACCTGTGTTAATCTTTAAGTTAGTATGTCGATGAATGATAGAATGATAAAGGTAGATTAGCTGCCAGCGTGGAGTAGCTGCTTAAACAAAAATGAGGAGTTGAATGCTAACAAGACTCCTGTGCGGGTTGCTAGTACTCCCTGTCCAGGATCTCGGAGACAGCCTTGGTAACGAAGACCAACAGAGACAGAAGAGCATTGTAGCTTTTATGCTTAGGACGGGTCGAATTGTGAGGTCTTGGCATGCAGAAAAATGGCAATCCTCACAATCTATTGTATTTAGCAAGTGAGTAGTGCAGTAGGAAGATTTGGTAAATTTCTGGCTTACGAAGCTCAAAGGCATTGTGGTTTAGCAATAATGAGAATACTAGCTGAGTTAGCATTACTGATGCCCAATTAAAAATTTTGAAGTTAGGGTAATAACTGCAGGTTGAAGGCCCATTTCCAATTTTCATTTTGAGGAAGGGAGTTTTCTGAATATAGTCAGTTCACTGTCTACTGATTCTGTCGTATACTGTCTACTAGTTTTCCTGGGTAGAGAAGACCAAGAAGACTTATTAGTTCCAATTTCTTTCTGATTGTTTCTTTTTAATGTTAACAGGGCAGCCTTGTCCCGCCTTCAGGCAATGCACAGACGACTGTGTACTGAACTGGAGAAAGAGAAGGATTTTGAGTTGAAAATTGCTTTGACACTAAAAGAGAAAATGTAAGTCAGAGAATGAGAAAACTGTGATGGAAGTCAGTCTTTAGTATGGTCTTCATATGCTGTTTAATGGATTCAGAAGTTAATCACTACGAAAGCTGCTTGTAAATACTGAACTACATAATTTGAGGTCATGTGAGGTTGGTTGACTGCAGGGTAAAGAATCTTGAGAGCAACTTTTAGCCCGAACAGTTCATTGCTTGTGGAATTGGTTGCTGTGGCTCAGCTCCTGAGTTAGTTTTGCACATGTAAATGAAGTTTTGATTTTGTTTGGAGTTGTGCATACATTGTGGGCCTAAACAGCTCTCATTTTAAATGGAAAATAAGCTGAACTAAAGTAGACCTGCCTGTGATACTGATCTCTGAATGAGCATAAACACCTCTAATTTATGCCTCTTAGTGTTTTTTATAGGACAGAAATGAAAAAATTGAAATTGAGAATGATCGAGGCATTGTAGCGGTACTGTGTATTTTTATAAGCTGATATTCGTGCTTGTAATTGCTTGTTCACACAAATGAAATTATTTACTTACATCAGACAGAATAAAACTATATTTTGCAGAAGGCAAGAGGTGAGTACGTTTATATTTTGGCACCAGAGGTACAACTACTAATGCCACCATGTCAAAGGAAGAACACAAGCATGGGCTTATAGATGTGATTAACCAAAATACAGTATGTACTGCTGCAGTGTTGTAGAATAGCTTTAAAATGCTTGACTTGTTTATTGTGTTATTAGCAATAACTATATTAATCTATTTATTTGTATCCTGATGATATCTAAATTCCTTCAACAAAGCATAGCAGAATAACAGCTATGGCCTGTCCTTGAAGTTATGTACTGTTGAAGAAAGCTATTTTCCTAAATTTTCTTGGGTTTCATATTTTATGCTGGGTAAATGTTAATTTGAGAAACAGAACATTGAGCTTTATTTTTCCTTTTTTTTGACTGATATTTTTTAGGTCTTGGAAATGAGATATGCTATTAAATATAAGCCTTAGTCTGAAAGGTACAATACCTGTGTCAGTAACAGGGTATGATTTACAGTATAATTTAAAAAGATAAAACATGGCTAGATTTGCATTTTCGCCATAGAGCCTTACCTACTCAATAGCCTGAAGTAAGTGAAAGAATTTCAGCATTTCAGTGAAAGCAGCTCACACTTTGTTTTAAAGGCTTGAGATGTGGCAGATAGAAACTGAGCAGGGAAAATATGAAGTCCTCTGTGAACAGCTTACAAAAGATGAGGAGGAGCTAGAGAAGCAATACCAAGAACGAGCCAAAGTGCGGATTTGGAAGGAAAAAATAGCAGCACTGCAAGCAGAAGAAAATCGGCAGTCTAGAGAAAAGTAAGCGCCTATAAGTCAGACTCTGCTTCCTTTCTCCATATTATTTTTAGCCAATTCACTATTTCGGGTGCTGAGAAGATTAGCTAATTCAAATACTAGTGGAATTGTGCTTCTTAGCTGGGTGTTGCTTCAGGGATGTTTTATGAGGAAATGGAATTGAAATAAGAATTGCCCACAGTCTTGCTGTTATGCAGGTAAAGATTTCCAATATATGAAAATAAACTTGCTAAAGACAAAAACTGTGGATGCGTTTTGTCTAAGGAAATGAAGTTTGTTTGTGTGTCTGCGTTGTTGTTGGGCACCAGGACCTTCTGAACTTATGATCATGTTCATCGAGATTTCTTAGAGAGAGAGAGGGGACACCAGTTTATCAATTTGTCCACAGGTTTTGTGAAAACAAGAGACCGTACGGGGTGGGGGAAGACTAATGTCCTCATTTCAGCACTTATTAATAAATGCCCCAGCCCCACCCTCAGCCGTTATTGTGTTGGGACCAAGGTTTCCTTGGTCTGGCTGCAACTGTTGTTCTGCCTGTGTTTTGCAGAAAAAAGGAGGAAGCCCAGAAAGAATGTGAAGAAAGGCATAAAAAAATGCTTGAGGATGCCAAAAGGAACCATGAAAAAGCAGTATGCTTCCTGAGAAAAAGCATGGCAAGGTTATTGTTCACGCCTTTTCTGTCATTGTACGCTCTCTGGTGTAGAATACTTCATCCTTTAGTCTTTGAAAAATAATCATTTTTCTGCTAGATGTGTCTTCTGTTACGCTTGGAAATCTGCCACAGCACCAGTGCTGTGAAGCATTCAAATCTTACATGGCAAAAAAGGGCTTTTGAAGAAGAAAATCCTCTTACTATCCTAGTCTGGTCTTCAGAGTTCCTGTAGCTGAAGGGACTGTCTGTCTGATGAGGTGCAGAGGGGTCTGACTATTGTAGGCATTAATAATGATCTGAAACGTTTTGTGTGTGCGTGTGTCATTAACTGGAGTAGTTTGAAGTAGTGTAACTAAATTCCAGATTTGAAACCTGCCCTTGGCCGTTCTATGTTCCCTCATCAATATGTGGTAAAAAGGCTTTCTTGCGGTCTGGTAAAATTGGTTGATAGGCCATTTCTTTGTGCTCCTGTTAATTTCTGGCTGATGGTAAATAAAATGTTCTCATCATAGGTGTATGTTTATATAATTGCTGTGGTGTTGAATTATTTTGCTACTAAGGAAACTGTGAACATTTGTAACTTAATTTTACTTGTATATTAGGACTTAATTGAAGAAGTGATTGAAATAATTGTACTGTTCCTGTGTTGGTTTGTTTTTCATTGGATGGCATGTGCAAACTTATAATTAAGAAAAACAAACAATCAAATATTTATTTTTCCCTCTGACTAATGAATCAAATATATTGCTTTTACTATTTTTTTTCTCGTTTACCATTATATTAGCTGGAATACCCTCAGACTTCATTAATGCCCACATTTCTAGCTTTTAGAGTTTCTGGGGTTTATTTTTAGTGTGGGTACAAGTGGTTGGCTCGTATAAACTTCACTACGTAATTGTTTAGATTTTGGTTATATGAGCAGCACCTGAATTCTTACTTTATTTTAGCGACTAGACATATGTCATAATGTGGAACACATTCTTCATATTCAAAATTAAAAAAAAAAAAGTTGTTGAGCAAACTAGTTGAAAGCCTGTTGGCACTTGTAACTTGAGCAGTACCATATATAGAAGAGTCTTCCAACTGTTCCGCTTTACCCACACCCAGTATCGTAGTAAACACAGAGGCTTACAGGAAGAATGGTGACATTGACAATTACTACTTGTTAGGTTAAACATTCTAATACTAAAAGCTTTCCAGGATATGAGCCTGAAAGGTTTTACTTTGCTTACAGAATTCATGAAAAAAATGCAAAGGAAGAACTGCAAGCTCAGGAGCATATGGAGAGAAGGCTACAAGCTGTGCTTTCCCTGAAAACCAGCATAACTTCCAATAGGGTACTGCTGCTGCTCCGGCTTAGACGGGGAATGGAGAGATGGGCTGGTTAGACCGCTGGGTGGTAATGACAGGAATTTCAGTTCTCTTTGCTGTCACCTCACCGACCATATCTCTTGTTGAAACTGGGGAGGATTTAAATACAGGAGTAATGGTGTTAGATTTGTATGGGCAGATTTTGACACTTCTGCTTATGGAGTTTGTTCTGTCAACAACCTCGTTGTTGTGGTAGGGTAACTCTTTGAAAATAGTGCATACTACAAGTAAGTTCTCTGAAAACTCGTCCAGAAGCATTTCCAGTTATTTGGATCCCAGTGCAGAAATATTTCATATGGAGAAAACATATGGAAGAAAAACAGTTACTTGAGAGTTTAAATAATGTAGATTAAGAACGACTGAGCTATGCTACTTTGCTTTTCTACTTATGTTCTGCAGAATCTGAAGGAATGATCTTAATTTAATACTAATTAGATTAGAACTGTATCTTTTCACATTGCCTCATTGAGTAGTATTTCAAGGGCAGGCGAGAAGGGTAAGAGAGTAGCCCTGACCTAGTTAGAGCTTTCTGCAGCTCAGCACACCGTGACTGCCGTGTATACTACAAACAATTAGCTCTACTTCAGAGAAATCTACAACAAATTTATACTTAGATAAGGGGACCAACACTAGACTCTCTGTTTTAAATTCTTTAATGTGTGAATCAAATATGTAACTGTGGTTTGTATGGCTTCATAGGAAAAACTCCATACTCTCCAGGTTTGGAACAAAGCAAAGGCCTTTAAGGCAAAGAAGCAGGAGATGAAAATGAGGGAAGCTATCCTGGCAGAAGGAGGCAATGTTACCACGGAAATTTTTCTCCATAAACGACTGCTAGAGCAGGAAAAAGAGAAACAGTAAGTATTCATATCTATGTCAAACTCTCAGCTGCTTAGTGATGCTCGTGCAGGAATATGTTGGAGCTCTTGATCAGATCCTGAAAACATAACATCTAGGATGCTGTCTCAAGGGGGTGAACTCATTCTTATACTCCATACGTGCGATATTTGTGTAGTCTGTCGTAAGCGACTTGAACTTCTAGCTTAGGTGTTATTCAGAGAACCAAAGTTAGGAGCCCATGTTCTATGATTGGTGCAAGGAAGATAAAACTACTCCAGGAGGGAAATTCGGTGAACCTAAACTGGATGATGCCTGAAGTAACTGTACTTCTGCATTTCCTGAACGCTGTCTCTGTACAAATTGAATAGCTTTCTTAGGCTAACAATCTCTGGAGGATTGCGCTGCAGGAAGGTCAGAAGCAAGGTGCTCTCCTTTGTGTGTTTTTTTTAATTGAAATTACTGCTGTGCCTTTGTAGTACAGTGGATAGGAATGTGCCTGCATCTCATCTGCTCCAGTGCAAAGCTTAATTGGTTTTTAACCACTTATGGAGATGAATTTGAGCTCAGATGCCAAACCAGGTGGCTGAGGTGTGGGGTTTGCGTGCTGGCTCTGCTACAAAGGCAGTAACCTGCAGCAAATGTTAAAGATTTAATAAGTAAAGATTCAGGCTTAAGTTTTGATTAAATAAAGCTTCAATCTTGATAGCTGCATAACACCACTTCTGCTATCCCTAAATATCTACAAGTCATGTTAATAAAATAATCTTATTTGTTTGTAGCGATCTGCTGGAAATATCCAACTCTATTGAAGTTTAATCCTTTTCACTTTACTCGCTTGTTCCCTTTCACTGTTTCCCTTTGCAAGCCAAGGGAGATCACAGTTTGTTAGTCTTAATGTTAGCTGTGTCCTGTTTCTCACAGCAGTTCTTTTCTAATCTCAGCTACAACCCTGTTAATCTGCCGGAGAACTGCTTAGTTATTTCTCCCAGGGTACTGCCTTTCTCCTTTTCTGTGAAGGGATACGCTCAGTTTTCTCTGAGTATATTTCAACTTGAATATGTATTTCTGAATTATATGCAAACAAAAATAATTTTTTAGTCATTAAAACCATTATGTCATTAATTTGTGTATCGCCTATAGAAAGATTCTTAAAGAACTGATCATAGGAACCAAGGATGGCTTTATACTTAAGGCAGGTAGCACTGGGAGTCAGTGTACCGTCCCCGTGTCTTTGTAACCGTGACTAACTTCTTTGTACCATGATTTTCCAAAGTCACATTATAAAAACAATGTCATTTATCTGCTGCAGTGGGGCATCACGAGGCTAAATTCAGACATTAAAGTGCTTCAGTAGGCAGTAGCCTGTAGTGAAGTGAGAGGTGATATTTTCTTTGCTCCTATTCAGAATCAATAATTATTTATACGGATTAGTTGAAGAGGTGAAATTTTATATTAAAAGCAATCATTAATGTGGATAATATTTGTTGCAGAAAATTGTGTATTAAATTGCTGGTATTTAAACTGAAATTATCTCCTGTCACTTTTGTCACACCACCCAGTGTGTCATGGAATTTGTAGTTGTACATAGCTTTGAATTCATATCTTCCAGTTCAGTACTTGGGTCCTCACCTTTAACTGTCCTTCCTTCCTTTATTAAATCCATTGGATTTCAGACTGGCAGTTTTCTTTAAACAGCTAACTAGGTTAGGAAAATTATTTAAAAATTGTGTTTTCCATAGCGATGACTGGTATGCTTTGTCGGTTTCTCAACTTGTAAAATACTGTAACTGAGTATATTTAGTCCACGAGAATGTATGAATAGCCTCTTAATTGCCTGGTATCTTGACACAAATTGCCACTGCACCCAATTTAAAGACTTGCTATTTAGCTTAAAGGCTTGGAAGAAACTGGATTGTAGTTAATATTATTAGTAAACAACCACAGTTAGTTTAGTATTTCTTACAACATTGGATTACAGAGCTTTTAGAGAACAACAAAAATCAAGAAAAATTGAGATTGTATCTCGAATTTTGCAAGAAAAAGCTGCTCTTCACAAGCAGAAAAAAAGTCAGCCCTGTACTAAGGCAATAAAGAGTGGTGGTAAACTTGGGGAATCTTTGCTGTGGAGAAAGAAAACATGGCAATATATTGAGAAGACTTGCAAGCATTCAGCTGGAGCAACATCGCAGGTAAACAAAGGCCTGAGAATTAACTGTCTTTAGATCTATTTTTTGTCAAAGGTGCAGGGCAGTGAATTCTTTTGCCTGTGAGTACCCCAGGCTATAACCAAATACCAGACAGTACAGAACAATTGGGGAGGAATTTCTCCGTTAGATCTCTTAATAATTGTTAGTCTCTCTTTTACTTGATTGTTGATGCTTGTATGAATAAAGGCATTGTCCTGTTGGTGCGGGGTGGTTTTTAAGGGCGTTTGTAAGAAGAGGTGAATTTTTGAACACGTGAATTGCAAGAGGCGTCAGAAGCCATGCAAAGTACCCTCACTTTGTGTTGAGTTACCTTCACGCCTGGGTCAGGGCGCGGGTCAGTTTGCCAGCACAAGAGAAATGTTTCCACTGCGTTGGAAAGGAGACAGTGGTTCTCTCTAGATGCAAGTTTCCGGGATGGTTTTTTTAATCTGCACAGTATTCCAGGGAGTACTGGCCTGGAAAATGGAGGTGGAGGGAATCGAATTCCCTGATGAAAGTAGTGGCTTCATGCAGTCTTGAACACTGAAAAACTACAGTCAGTATTCTCATGCCTGAGGACTAGTTTCTAGCCTCCTATAATAAACAGTTAAAGTCATATAGGTGCTTTTAACATTAGGCTTTGTCTGTATTCAGTGTCTTAAGAAGGGATTGACCCTAAGTTGTCATCTCTGGCCTCTCAGCTTTATAGACCTGGGGGTTTTTTTGTGTTAAATTATCTCCTCAGAAGCTATTGAAGTAACTGTCCTCTAGTAATTTTTAACTATATCTTCAAAACTTACTTTCTTTCGCAAAAGACGTGGTGCTCTCCATCGGCTTGTTCCTCAGCTGGTGAGAAAACTGCTTCTGTAGGAGAGACTTCTGAAAAAATACCCTGTGATGTGCTCTGGGAACATGGTGAAGATGAGAAAGAGGGGGACAAGACCCTAGCAGAACCAGAGTTCCCGGGACTTTGGAGTCAGGACTGTGACTTGCACAAGGTAAATGTTATGATATCTCTTATTAGAAATAGCAAAGGAAAAAAAAAATGTGGGTTGTAGCTGACTCGTGAAGTTGATCTTCACAAAATTTTGACAGGATCCATGAAAGTATTTTAATGGTTTAGAAGAAGTTTCATTTGCCTCTCTAGTAGTTGTAGATATGTGAGGTAATGACACTGGCAAGGGCTGTTTTAGGAACCTTGCTTGAAAACAATAATTATCTATTTTGCAAATAAAATGCAAACTTTATTACGTAGCTGTAGAGATTCAGATGTGAGAATGTCATCAGAGTAGTTGCTGTTTGGTGCTACTCTTGTAGTATTTGTTCTTGTCCAGAGAAAACAACACTTCAGTTTTAGTTCCGAGATATGTGAAGACATACATCACATCATGTTCACTTGTTTCAGTTCAAAAAAACCGAATGTGACTTTCTGTTGAGTTGGCAACACAGATTGCTTTATGTGGAGGCAACTGTTTACGTACCATACCAGGCAAAGAAAAGCATACCTTCTAGCAAAGTAACAGTATTCTATACTCTAAATAGAAGTAAATAATATGCTTTTATAGAGTGGAATTGTGTAGTTAAGATCTTAAATGTTATTCCAAGATATACTCACATATACTGCTTTTTTGAGATGTAGAAGACCATTAAGAGCAGACTTTATGATCAACCAAAAAGAAATAATGGCAGTACATATTCATATATTTGCATGAAAGAGTCACTGGACCATAATGGAAATGTTCCAGTGAAGTTAGCTGTTTTTTTTTCTGAATGAGTATTTGTTGAGGAAGTTGAGGGGGGAAAAAACTCTTCAAGTGCAGAAGAGCTAATAATGACATTAAAAGCACTGTGTCATAGTGTGAGATGACGGTAAGCTGCAGAACAGACAGCTGAGAAGAAATTAAATTCTTCATATAGAATTTGGAAAGATGAGTTTGATCTGGAGAGAAACAGGCAAAGGCTGGCCAGATACTAAAAGACTCCATTTCCAGACTTCTCTACTTGGAGCTATGGATCCTGTGATCGCACTTACAATCATGGTTTGTTTTCCTGATGTTCCTTATTAGATATCCAAAGAAGAAGTGGATCCAAAGCAGCTGGCTACAAGGGTAGAGAAAAAAGAAATTTTTGAGAAAAAACTGGAGGAATTCCAGACCGGAATTTTTCACAAGCAAATAGCATCTGGTCGTGAATGTAAGGGATGTACTTTCTATAGTAAACCAAGCTGCATTCATTTCAAGGTTAGTGGCCATTCTGCGTAGGATCTGTAAAGATGATGTATGTATCTACTGTATATATATACCGATGTCTGGATCAAAGTTCTGTTGCACTGGGAAGAAAAAAAGAAAATTCTTGTTGTCTTGAATAGGCCTTAAGTCAAACCTGAAACAGTACATGCCTTTTTCTCTAGCAATCTCTTAGGTAAGTTATAGTCAGATTAAATAAACTACTTAGCTTTACTACTTAGGTCTAAATTGTGAAATACTTCCTTTACTGAGGGCAATTTAAGTACTGTCAGAAAGGTGAGCAGATGATGAAATATTTTGTTAGACTGTGTTCCATGCTTTTTAAAAGGCAGCGTTAACTGTTACTGATATATTGTTTGTACATATGTTATTACTATAAAATAACGTCCTGAAAGAAGTCACAACTACAATCCAGTCAAGATTTCGGTTTGCAGGTGACCATCGTATTATACTGGTCATGAGGAAACTGAGCTGTGGTTTACCTCTGTATTGTAGTTAACAAGTGCACTGTGAGAAAGCAGAACACTGCCTCGTTCTTCTCTGTACTTGCCAAGGTTGCTGGGGTGGCTGGAGTTTTCTGGCTGCGTCAGAGGAACGTGCTGGCAGTCAGCCTGCAGGACTCTTCTTGTCTGTGTGCTAATGAACGTGCCCAGGTGTCCAGCTCCTGTGGCTTTCTGGTTTCGTTAGGAGCTGGGAGCCTGTGACATGCACGGAAAGCAGCAGATCTCCGTTGGAAGACAGTGGCACCTAGCTCTGTGTTCAGAAAATTGGTATTGTCTTTGCCACACACAGTCTAAATTGTTAAGAACTCCACTAGAGCATGAACATGACGTGATGTCTGTGACATTCACTGCGGGAAAAGCCAGAGTGGCTTGGTGCATTAGCTGTGCCCAAACCCAGATAATGCTGCCCCGTCTGTGGAGCGTGAGCTCCTGGCGTTATAGGCTGTGCGTTTTAACAGGGTTTGTCTGGAGCAAGGCAACACTTGATGGGTTCATACAATACTTTGCACACGGGCCTGTGATCCCCGTGGAGCACAACTGTGAGCACAGCTGTGGTAACAGTAGTTGGTTTTGTCATTGCATGTGTAAATGCTGCTTCCTGTAATTCACACCACCTGATATGTTTGGTATTCCAAGGATTTTGATGTTGGTCAAATCTACAAAAAGAAGATAGTCTTGATAAATGCATCCTACAGCGTTAATTTCTGCAGACTAGTGGGAATCAGCGAATGGCTCAAGGACTTCATCAGTGTTCAGTAAGTAAAAGTAGCTGTAGGGTAGTTGCTTGTGTAACCTTTGTGCCACAGCAGGAGATGCAACCAAATTCTGCAGCACATTAAATAGACTTTAATAAATACATCTAAATTATTATATTCCATTCTTATAAGATGAGGAAAGGAGCTGTGTCTTGAAGCTGAGGAGGAAGAGGCTTACTGAGCCTGAGCTGCACATCGCTGGTTTCTATAGTGGTGATAGCAGGGGACCAGTCCCTGATCTGTGGAAAGCAACATAGACCTGTGGTACCTGTCAGCCATTGAACAAGGAGAAAGCTGTTTTCCAAAGATGTCAGACCCTTTTAAAAAGGGGGAAAAGATCTCTTTGTAGGTGCAAAGAAGTGAAAGAGGACCCAAGCTTCTTTCTAGGCCACCACAAGGGCCTTTAAGCCTAGGCAAAACCTCTTTCACCAGCTGCCATTCTTCGTAGCATGATTCACCCTAACTCCCAGATTACTGCTGCTGAAGCAGCTGATGGAAGAAAGGAATCGATCTCGGAGCAAAGAGCACTTAAAGTGAAACCCTGTGGTCTTTGCCATCAATCCATTCATATAATCCTGATGACAGATTGTGTAATGAAGCACTCTGTTCTTTGCAGTGTTACTGAGCCTCAGCTTCACCTCTTTGGCCACAGTCTCTGTCTGTAGCATGAAGGCAATAATTCTTGCCTTTTCCAAGCGCTTTCAGACTTTCTGAGTAAAACCCCAATGAAGAATCAGCCTTTGTAGTTTTACAATTGCAGCAGGGTTCTGTAGCTTTTCATTAATCTGTCACTCATTCTGACTTTTCTAAGTAATTAATCCAAGTGGGGAAGAAAAATAAAAAAAATCTGCCATTGTTACCAGAATAGGAACTGGATGTTTCCTACATAGCTCTAATTTGGAGTTTTATGTTAATTATCTCCGTAGTTTTAACCCACCTGGCAAAATGTCTGCTGGAATGTCCTGTGAAGTAGTGGTGACATTTAAGCCAATGGTAAGTGCGCCCGAGTGCAAAGTTACACAATGCTGAGAATCCTGATGTAATCCGCTAGTCGGATTAAAAGCATAATTAATTTAATTTCTCAGCTTGTTTCCTTGTTAACAGTTACACTCCCATCTAGAAAAGGTACTGTTGTACTGGGACAGCTGTGTGCATGTTCAAGCTCTGTTAAATTGGAAGAGGACATGTTCCAAGGGCACATTTTGGAAAAATGACTGTCGCTAAGTATTCCTGGAGTATGCTTTGAAGCTTGCTCCAAACGAAAAGATTTATAATTTTGCCTAGCTAAAGTTAGCCAGGGAGTTACCAAAGACTGTTGTAAGGCAGAAACATAGACGCTGTAGAAACACATTTTAGTATGCTACTCAAAGAATGAGTGAAAGTATTTTTCATCAGACTACATAGGCTAAATCTTTGCAAATTACTTCGTTGGGGTTTTTTGTTTGTTTGTTTTCTAGGTAAATGAAACGCTGGAAGGAGAAGTCATGTTTATGGCACAGACAGGTGCTTTTTCGGTTCCATTGAAATGTACAGTCAAGAGGTGCATTGTAAGTGACTTCTTAAGCATGTTCAGAGTCAGTATAACGGCAGTAATGGAAAATGTGAGATAGCATGAACATTACTGACAATATTTAGCAAGAGGTATTTATACTGCATTATTTTTTTCCTTTTAAATGGAGAGTGTCTTTCCAGAAAATGATTCATTCCTTAGCTTCCTAGATTACACTGAGATTTATGCATAATTATTGTAGTGGATTTACTTAACCATGAACTGCCACTTTAACTTCAGAGTGGAATGAACTGCAGTAGTTCTGTTTAGAAGCTGATGACAGTGTTACACTGTGAGTGGAGGGAAGAGAAATGGTGGCTGGAAATGAGCTATCTCTTTTCTCCTTCGAATTTTTGGAAATTCCATCCCAGACCTGCAGTAGTTTATTCTTTAATTTTCTATAGACAGAAATCAAAATATCACAATATCTTTGTATCTTTCCTGACATTCATAGAAAGCATATAACCTCTCCTGTAGTTCAGCATCTTAAAATATTTTGAAAATTCTATACCAAATGTTAAGCAACGAACATAATTTTCTTACTGTTAAGAGATGAGGTTACAGGCAGTGCTAACTTTTTTCAGATCCTGTCACTTCCTATGAGCTAACTTGAAGAAAGTCTTTGATAAAAGCAACAACTTTATCTTTTATTTAGCTCCTTCACAGCTAAGAGCAGCTTTGGCTTTACAGGCCAAAAGAAATTATAGGTGAGAATATACAATGCTAGAGGAAAAATGTTATGCAAGGAGACACCCAGTATTGGAATAAGTCTAGCAAATGCAAAATTTGGGATATACTGGGAGCATACTTAATAATAAAATTAAAAAAAAAAATTTAAAAAGGCTTGAGACATATAAATGTCTTACCAGAGTTTGTGATATTGCGTTTCAGTAAATTGAATGAATAAGATTGCATGTAAAGTTTCTTTACTGGACTGACGGCACACTGAAACTTTTGTGCACAGGGAAATTAAGAATAATTTGTTACACAGAAAATAGAAGGAGGGAAGTAACTGAAAGGTAGCACGCTATAATTATTATATTAGCAATCTGGCAAAGTATTGAAGTATGTGCTTAATTTTAAGCACTTGTAGGAAGTTAGAATGAGATCACATCAATGTGGCATACTTAAATCTGAGTATGTGTAGAGGACACTTTGGTTTTCAGTCAAAAGACCTTGAAGATGAGAAAGCCCAATGCAGTAGGAAGCCAGCACATTGACCTTTGATCAGAGGAGTCATCGTCTTCACCTAGAGAATTCGTACCATCATCGTGTGCTAATTACACACAGGAACTCCTGTTCTTTATGCCCTGAAAGTGGGAAGAGTTCAGCTGTAAGCAGGATCCTAGCAAGCAACCAAGTTGTCTTTGTCTTTTTGCTGCTTGAACTTGAATCACAAGCCCTTTTTTATCATATACCCAGTTAAAAAGTAATTAAAAATTCTATATGAAGTAGTGTGTTACTTTTTAAACTGGCTGTGAACTGTGATAGCTCAAAGAAACAAGACATGATGTGTTACAAACTGATACGTGGTCGCTATATGATGTTAAATGCTGCTTGCTTCTCAGCCTGATGCTAGTAAAACCATGTTTCTATAACACAGAGTAACAAGGTTGAATTGGTATGTAAATATTAGCTACTTCCAGAGTAACTACCTGAAGACTTACGCAAGTTGCCAGTATGAACAGACTTTAAACTGTTTTTTCCATTGTCATATGGGGGACTGAAATGGAAGTGGCTCAGTTTAACAAGACATTGTTTTAATGAGTTTGCTTCTACAGAAAGGCGGAAGGATACCCACAGCTCATGTTGTTATTTGATACTGTCTTTGAAATTATAATAAGAACTTTGAAGTCCTGTTCTTGAAAAGGTGGATGCTCATTCACTTGACATTGCTGACTATCTAGGACACTAGTAATTAATGCCTTATCTTGTCACAGCTGGCACTAGATAAAGAGCTCATTGACTTTGGCAGCCATGTGGTGGGAGAGACGATTTCACAGACCATCAGCCTGACGAACAGTGGAGCTTTGGGAACAAGATTCAAAGTTCAGACATCAGCAGGTGACGGTAGTACACACAGAGCAACAGCAAAGTCTTCTCCCGCAAGAGCTGGTAAAATCATAGAGAGTCGTAGAACAGTGCAGGTTGGAAGAGGCTTCAGAAGATCATCTGGTCCCATCTGTAGTAGTTTGTTTACATTTGGGTTGGCATATCTTAATATAATCTTAGACCCCCCAAATACCACAAGACAAACTTAAAAACAGTTATTTTGGGGGAGAGGGAGGAAACCAACAATGATAGGGTTTTTTAACATTTTTGTCATTTGTCGTGATTCCTATTTTCTCCACACCCATGAAAATAAGGAAAAAATACTTTAGTTAAAAGAGGAGGTTCTGACGGAGTCATTTAAAATCCCAGCTCCTGGACTTCAGAAAAATGCCAACTGTTGCGAAACCAGCAATAAAGTAATGAGAATTGGGAGCACTAGCCTGTGATCTTCCTTTAAAAATTCAGAGCTGTTAGTTTAAATTGACAGAAAACTTAGGAATCCTGACAGCTGTACTTCTCCATTCTTCATCTTTGTTCCGTCAGTGCAGCCTTTCATTGCTGCGCTTGTTGAAGAGCAATTGGCTCAGATGGTTTGCAAAATTCTCGACTTGATAATCTAGCCCAGTTTTAAGTTCTAAGAACTGACCTCTCTTTTGAAGCACGACATTCAATAGTGTGCAGTGAAACTGCTGAGCTGTTTGCTGTGATTTTCAGCTCTCGTACTATCTTTACGTTAGAAGTGTGGTTCAGCTAAAGAATTTGTGAAATAGCACCACCTGTATGCGTGGTTTTCCTTCTGTATTCTGTGTTTTGTAGGTGTGTAATGAACAGGAGTCTGGTATTAGGAGACTTAGTTTTGACATAGAACTGCTTGTGTTTCCGCTAGAAAAATGTTAGTTCTGTTAATTGTGAAATAACTAACGTGATATTCTGTTGCTCCCATTATATTATTTACCTGTTTTGGACAGCCAGCAATAATTAAATCTGCTCATTGACAAAGGTCTAGTAGAATGTGCAGTTTTTAGTAAGTGCAACACACTTCTCCATTTATAACATAGAACCGTTGCGAGAAAACACAAGTCTGACTCGCAGCTGCTTGATAAAATGGGAGCTGGTGCAAGCTAGATGAGCAGTCACGGTAGAAAATGGGTTTTCTGTGTTTTCTAACAGGTTACTCAACATTTTAGTGACTGTGTGACTGAAAAGAAAGTCAGCGATAGTCCTGTGACATTGGTAGTTGAAAAGAAGGAACAAATTTATCCTGACCAGAGTGAAGAGATGACCTCGTGTGTAGCCCAGGCGGAGCAGCAGCAGGCTGAGACAAGCCTGAGCAATCGCTCCACAGGTGAGATGGCCGTGTTGGAAAACGGGCAGTGCGGTTTCCCAGGCTAAGCGCTGTCCATTTGTAGAGTTTCCTGTAATGAACTGTGGAATTCAGTTGGCAAAGTTACTCAATAATTAACTAGTTCATCATTCTAGTAGTAATGTTGCATTTCTTTGTATGCTACCTCACAAAAAATGACTAAAAATAATGTATGATATAATGACACCATTATATCAAAAGCAGCAGAGAATCTCACTTCTCATTAGCGATGAACAATTCAGTCTCAGAAGAATACAGAAACCAACTAGCTTACAGGAACTGCAAAATTGTTATCATTCTTGTCTCAGCAACTGAATACCCACTTCTTGGAATAGAAATCCACATGACAGGTTTATTTTTATAGTCTGTAATTCTAGCAACAAGGAAGCAGAAAGATGAACCTCCTCAGACATTTTCCATCTCATTCCTAATGTTTACTATGTGCTTAATAAAACCCAGTCTTGTAGAAGAAAGACTTTCTTAATTTCTTTGTTATCTGTATTCTTTAAGATTTCTTCTGGATATTGATCATTCCAATTGCAGGGAACTAAAAGTTCCATGAACAGGTTGTGGGTGTTTTTTCTTTTTAAACCTAAGATCTGTATTGTGAAATGGAATGATTCCATAAACTGGGGTCGCTGTCTCCATAGAACATTTACCTGTTAAAGAGGTTTTCAGAGCTTTGAGGGGGGGAAGGGGAGAGAAATTCCATTGCTCTGGCACAGTAACGTATCTCCTGACACCTTGATCTTTTTCCTGGTTAATGTGAAGCATGTGGTTGCCAGTTGATTACTGCCACAGAGTGCAGAGTTAGCTTCGCCTCTCTCGTGATGCATTAGTCTAAGGCACTTTGAAGCCCTTGTGGGAGACTGTTTAATTAGAAGGTACTTATTATTGCAGTTATTTTAAAAATAAAGTGAAGCAGCACCTCCCCTTGCTCTGCAGGCCCTCCTGAGTGCATTGCTTTGTCCCACTGAAGTTGTTCTTAAAGCCCAGTTCACACTTCCGGCCTAATTGACATTCCTTGATGTAACAGTCTCTGATACGTACTTTATCTTACTGAAACATTAGTATTGTTAGTTTTCAGTGGAAGGCTCAGGTGCCTAAGGTAGGCTTCTGGACTTGGGCAAAGTCATATGGCCAAACAGAAGTTCCCTTCTAGACATTTGTATTTCCACATCCATGGTACATATTATTGGATTTGCAATATTGACCAAAACCAGTGCACTTCTGCTCTGTTGGATATTTTTATTTAGTGAACAGATGCACACACCCAGCATCTTGAGGGGTTTTGTTTGTGTGGTTTGTTTTGTTTTGGTTTTATTTCTCCCCAGATCAACTTGGTCAAGATGTATTACATTCCAGATCAGATCTAGACACAGACAATGCACATATTTCAGTGGAACTTTCTCCCGAAGAAACACCAGTCGAAATTGTGCTTGGAAAGGTAATGAATATCCTGAGATACAGACAAGATTTTCACTGGTCTAAGCCTACATCAGATACATTGCCTTCACTCTGGTGGGAGGTGCTTAAGTACGTGATCCATTTCAAGCCCACTGGACTTCACTGTGTCACAGTTAATTTTTAAAATGAAATCGTATGACATTTGCCATTTATTTTGATGTATAAAGACTTACTTGAGCTGAAAGATTCTGTATACATTTACACTTCTCATAATTTAACTTTTTTGTCAGACTGATTTTTCTGCTGTGTTGTTCTGTGGTTATACAAAGCCTGGTGACAACACAAAAGATGGGCCAGGAAGAATGTCTCGGAAAAGTCCAACTTGAGCCATGTTAAAACTGGGTGTGAGAGTCCAGATAGTAGTTCATATGAGCATCTGTTGCTTCTACGTGTACATACAAAAGGCAGGTGGACTAGATGTGGAAATCAGTAGAGCAGGTCTTTGGATCGTAGCACAAGACAGCTTCTCCATCTTCTAGTTACATGTTCACCAATATATGCTGGAATCACTCTGGTAAACCACGCTATCTAGCTGACATAGAGTCTTGCAGCAGAAGGAGACTTAGTAAGATTCTGGCCATGCCTGGCTGTGAAACTGTGTGTCCTGCCAAGTCTTTCCCCGCAGTAAACCTCCTAGGGAGCTACTGATACTGATTTTTCCCTTGTATAGTCGTTCAGTCTAGTTACAGACTAGGTGTAGTAGAGTGTTTGCATAGTATGAGTGTATACTGCTCCTTTATTTCAGTACAGTTTATAGCCCACTACAGTAATACAGTCATTTTCATTAAAAACAGGTTCCTTCTTGTTTAGGTTACTGAAGGTGAAATTGGACCCTTCAGCACAGTCAGACTTCAGCTCATATTTGTCCCAGCTGTCCCTGGGGATGTGCGGGCAGACTTTGTGATCGTGTTTGACAACTCAGACTGCAAACCAGTGAGTGATTTTGTGCAAGACTTGCTTCAAAACACTGTAGAAAGATACTTTAACATCCTGCTACTTCTGCTTTTCCCAAGAATTACAAGAGCTCTGAATCCTATATTAGAAACAGGAGATGGGAGGTAACTTTGGGAGGTAATCATGGCCCTTCTTTCTGATGCAGTATGGCTATTAAACCTGTTGATTCCCTTAAATTTCTATGCAAATAATCCTGATATTCCCAGTTTTATCAGACATCATACTGGAAAACCTCTAATGTCCTGTAAACAAACCCAAAAGTATTCTCCTCTATTCCCAACCCACGTTGTTTATTTTCTTTCTGATATATCAGAATTGGAATTATTTAGCATGCAGTAGTGAAACTGATGTGTGAGAGCTGGAAGGGATGACAACTTTAGTTACCACTTCAACATATTTTGATTCTGCACTTTGTTGGAAGCCAAATTCTGCCTGGGAACAGTTGACAGAAGCTTTCCAAAAAAAAATAAACAAAAACTTTCGGTCTACAGACGGAGCTGCAGGTGCATGCTGTGGGCTCCTGGGGGTTCCCTCTCTCTCAGGATGCTTTTATCCAAGTCCGAGCTACATGGGCACTGATGGCAGACCTAAGGCCATTGTAGGAAGTGCAGCACTGTGCTGCCATACTGTGTTCCTTTGCTGGCTAAACAAGCTGCAGTCTCTTGAGTTTCTGAATTATGGCACATTCACTTAAGCTGGGTGCACTTTAACTACTTCTTTTCGATGTCAGGGGCAGCATGCTGTTCCTTCATGTTCTCTGTCAAAGAATCCAAACCAAAATTCTTTTTTTCTCCTGGGACACCATAACATCTAGGTTTTATTTTACAAATTATTTTCATAGCTTTGCCTAATTAAAGAAACTGTTGAAATATGAATAATAAAATACTTTACTCAGCTGTAGTTTATAGCAGAAATTCTTGCTCTGTCTAGATCAGTAAGAATTTGAGACTAACAAAAATAATTACACTTTTGATTTATGTATTAACAGCTGTGCTTTAGTGCCGTTGGAGTCTCTATTGATGTCCCGGTTTGGGTGCCCAATCCCAACATTGATTTAAAGATCTGTATGTATGACCAACTTTACCAGGACTGCATTGTCATTCAAAGCAGGTGAGCTGCCCCTTCACTATCAGCTGCCTTCTATAGCTAGATACTGCGATCATAGGTCTCTAGCTGATGTCTTGAGGTTCTGTTGTGCCAGACCCATCTTGTCATCATTGGAAGCTGAAGAACAGTTTGGGTTTTGCCCTGGCATTTCAGGAGGACATCCTGATCACAAGCCCTTTGAGTTCATTGCTGCCGGGGAAATTGGACGTGGGTATCCTCCTATCCCAGCTACCCAAGGCCAGCCGCAGCTATGAAGTGTCGGGGTTAATACACACCCTTTGCACTCCCACAAGATTCCCTGCGTTGTGCCTGTTCTGTGGCATAACTGTGAAGTCCCTAGGGACTAGCAACTCCACAGAGTTTCATCATGTGGAATTTGCATACTAAACATTGGGAGATAAATATGTCTAAAATGAAGTGCACATTGGGTACAATTGATTCAGCCAGGAAACTTTATGAAATAATATTTTGTTATTTCTCAACTATTTTACTTTTAATTAAAATCCATGGGACACATGATCTGGAAGCCAACCTCATGCCAGCTGTTCTTGATTGAGAAGGTCAATCACCAGTCTTTCCAGAGTTGGGATATGGTGCTGGATAAATCACCTCAGTCCTTTTTCATTTACTGTAAAATGGGAAGGGTACAACTTTTCCTAACCCATATAGGCCTTAAGCACCGCAGTGGCGTGACAGATACCTTGTGAGGACACAGATAGTGACCAAATAGCAGTTCACAGGAGAAAAAATATCTGGGTGTTTCTGTAGTCCAAGTCAGTCACGTCTGAAGACTGGTTCTGTTTGCACTATAGTATAAAGATAATACTTCAGCTCATCGGCTCCCAGAGATTTCATGCTGTCAGAGAGGGGTTGCATGAACTTTTGTTCTCTTAATTGTCTCCAGGTGCTGGGTGTCTTTAGCTAACGCAGTCACTATTGAATGCTTATTTTAACAATTTACATTTCTTAGATTCTATTTAAATAGGATTGGGGTGGGTTTGTGGGAGGGTGGGGGAGAGATTGGTTCTGTAGAAGGCATCCATTCTAAACCTCTTACCAGAATTACAGACTGCAGAGATTCTTCACAGTTGGAAAGAAATGAGTAAAGCTGTTATCTCAGAAATTCAGTTTACAGATATGACAAGCACCAGTTCTTATGTAAGTGATTTTACTTGGTCTAGATAACCCAGGGATAAAACTTATAAGTATAGAAGCAGAATAACTCTCCTAATGAAAACTTAAGATTTCAAGGGGATCCTAAAGATAGAAACTGTCAAATTGCTTAGGGCCAAACCTTAACTAAGGGAAAAATCCTGCTGATCCTTTGCCAAGTTTCACTAAACTAAGAGCACTTAATATGTGGTATACTGTCCTTAGTGCCTTGGCAAATCCAGTCTTTGATTTACCACCCAATTCTCTACAGTTAGGAAAAATTGTCTTTGCTATACTTTGAATTTCAGCCCAGATGACTGTATTTCATGTGCAGTAAAACCATGTCTCAACTCTTTATCCTGGAAAAGTAGATAGATTTCATCATGCTGTTAGATGTGGTGCCTGAGAAGTTCCTTCCTCTAGCAGCTATTGAAATTTTTCTGTAGCGTGTAGCAGAAAGGATTCCTCATTGCTACGTGGTATATGTCAAACCACTTCTCAAACAGATGAATTTAAACTGCTGAAAATAGCTGTAAATCACTATTGGTCCAAACCAGTCTCTTAGGTTAGACTAGTAAACAGCTGTGTTTTAATGGCAGTAGTAAAAACCTGGGGAAAGGTAGCCTTGCTAAGGTCTGTGGTCTGGAACTATGCACAGACAAAGGACCCAGAGCCAAGGACAATTATCAGGCTAGCAAAGAAGCGGCCAAACTGCTGTCAGCATACAAACCAAGATAATAGTTTGTTACAGTGGCTTTGTGTGTGAGCTGTGTGTCAGCTACACGGTGCTGTCTGTGAACTCATGCTCGTAGCAAGCACTCACTGGAGCAGACGCAAGGTAAGGTTACCCAGCCCAGCTGAAAAGGCTGCTTGTCCAACAGCTGCTGAAATGCCTGAGCTGGTGAGAACTGAAGTTCAGAGCCAGTAGATATGAAATGTTATTAGCATAACTTCTAGAACACAGGTTCTTTAATTAAATGTTAATTAAATATGTAAATAATCCTACTATTCAGGGATATTCTTACAAATGTCTGCTCTAATCCCTAACTAGTTCTAGGAAGAAAAAAACCACAAACAACTAAAACTTGTAGTGAGAGAATTCTTTAGATTTTTGGGGCAAAATCTGACCCAGGCCTGGGGGAGATGATGTGTTACAACAACCTTCTGTTCACACCAGTACACACAAACGTCTGGCAGAAGCGGAGCAGAAAGAACTTGCCTGTGTCTTCCTGCTGCTGCAGTCTATGATGTTGTAGTCTGCAGCAGAAGTAGAAGATCAGGTTTTCAAGTCAGATAGCTCTGGCACTGAAGTGCCCAGGCAAGCTCTGCAGAATTGCAAAATGTTAGTTAATACTGGTTTGGGGTTTGTTTTCTTTTTTTCTCTGGTCACACAGAACATGGTAACCAGGAAGCGTAAGTAAGCAGCATAAAGGGTGAAAGAGTCTTGTCAGAATCCTGCCCAGTATAAATTACTTCGAGAAGTAATTTCTTTGGCAGGTTATAATCTGCACTGATTTAATGAAATAGTATCTAGTTCTCGTAGATTGTCAACAGTCAGAAATCATTCCAGGCTCCCAGTACCACACACTATAGCTGTTGATTTAGAGCAGACCATCTGGACTGACAGCTTGTAAACCAGTCCAAGAGAAGGAAAATGACAAGCTGAAATATTTGTAAATTGCTTGGCAATTGTGCACATGGGCAGAAAATTCCAAAGCAGGGTATGGTTTGTGGCTATTGCTGTATTATAATATGGCCAGAATTCAGTAAACAGGGAGAGGTTTCCTAGCGTCCAGTATGCCATTCACAGAGCAGAGTGACACCTGGTTTTAGCAGACGAACTGGCAGTACCAGCTTAGCCACACTACGGCTTCTCGCCCTGTAGAATCTCCGCTCTCAGAGGAGAAGCGAATTCACGTTATTTAAAAGAAGTTACCGTGGTTCTGGGGAGAAAAACCAAAAGCAGCAGTGCTCTCTGTGCATTTCTGGCATCAGACAGCCCCCTGAGTTTGAGGTTTCTTCCTGCCTGTAAAGGCTTATTTTTTGGTGCTGAAGGTTTTGAGATAATTATGGTGATGATGAGGATGAATGGATTTCACAAACTGGGTACATGTTGATGTTTTAGGTGTATTATGCTCTTTCAGGTTCATTCTCTCGATTCTTCTGACTACAGGCTGGGACATCAGGTGCTTGTTAGCCACTTAAGCAGCATCTAGGCATCCTTGGCCCCACTTAGGGGTCGCTGGTCTTTGGTTTTCTGTTTCTCAGACAGAATAACAGGTTTTTATTTGTTGCATCACCCCCCAGTTGTTATACAACCTAGATCCAGCATGATGAGAAGACCACTCCTTTTCTATTTTGGGTGGGTTCTGTGCTGCAGCTAGGACCAATTAGGTGTCTCGAACACTGAGTGAGTGATTCCTGTTGATTCAGATAGAGAGAATGTATGTTAGGAGCAAATAATTAGCTGGTAAGTCACAATAATTTGGCTTTGACTTTCCCCTGACCTGACTTATCACTGTGCTGCACTTTGATAATTATGTTCCAATCAGCTGTGTATATTGCATGAAATACAGCTGGGTTTACTTACAGCGCTTCCAAAATCTTGTTTTCTATACTTATGTTAAAAGAGAATACAACTGTCTGATTTTGCAGTAGCAGTTTTACATGCCTATCATTTTCAAAGGAAGCTTGGAATAGTTGTAACATAGAGTGGGGATGCAAGGGAGGGGGCAGAGGGGGGCCAAACTGCAAGAGCAAATGTTGCCGAGGTGGCAGTACCGGTAGCCTCAAAGCCACCTGAGCACATCTGATCTGTTTGCAGAGCAAAAGCCACGCTGCGTTTGAAGTTTGAAGTATGCAAAGAATTGAGTAAGCACATGGAGCTGCTTCCAAAAACGGGTTACATCCAAGCTCAGTCATCCTTCAGTGTGCAGCTGAAGTTTCTGCCCAGGTAACCTAACAACATTAATCTTGTCACTATTGAAGACCGTATCGGTAGGAGGCTGTCAGTGGAAAACTTGAGCAGGTCAAAGTTTTTTCTTCCTTCACACTGTAGCAGAGTGGACTTCACACTGCTGGTGTCAGTGCGGTCCCAGTCTCCCCCCTCTCTCCCCCTTGGAAGTTGCCAGATGCTCAAGGAGGAAATTAACTTGGATCACAGGCCTGTGAGGAAATGCTGTCCCTGTGGTGACAGCAGCAGTGTGAAAATGTGAGCAGTTGCGTTCCTGGTAGGCTGCTCCCGTTTCTGCGGGGAAGCTATTCTTATACACAAGAGAGGTTATCTGGGCCAGGTGGCTACTTCATGCATCACTGATTAAATAATTTCTGGACAAGAACTCCTGTGCTTGCTAATTAAGGTAAGAATGGTTGGGCTTCCTGTTCATATCTCTTCTACCCCTGTACCTTTTTCTCCAAAATATAAATGTGTTGATCTTGAATTCCATTTTATATAACATCATCTAAAATGCTAAAAGCTTATCCCAGCAAGTTTCTCTTCTGCATTTCATGATACATCTACATAAACATAGCTCAGTTATAGGAAACAAAGAATTCCAGTTTTTAAATACAAAAGCTCCTGTTGACCACTGTTAAGTTTATGTACCTCATCATTGCCATCCTAAAGAATTCAGTAGGACATTTCTTTTCAAATATAAATTAAATTATATAGATCCTAATTCTGGTGTACAGCCGAATACTTTGGCGGCTGCACTGATTGCTGCTTTTTTCATGGAAGTTACCTAGTCCCATTGGTGTGAGCATATTTGGATTTTCACTGATGTGCTCAGCATCTCTGGATTCTAACTTGAGAGTATAATCACCGATTTTGAAATTTTCACCAGGTTAGTGTTCAAAGAACTAAAAGTATTTACAGTTCTTCCAACATCTCAAATCCTATCGGATCACAACAGCAGTAACCATGATTATGACATTTTTCAGTGCCTAAACTTCGGATGCTGTAAAGCACTGTTACACGCACTCAGTGGATAGGAGCATAGGTTGGATTTAGGACGTTAATCTTCCTTTGAGAAATGGGGAAGCTTCAGAAAAGGGATTTGATGAGATTAAGGCGTTTCTGACACACAAAGTACATATCTGGCTGTTTCAGTGTGTAAATCGGTTTTAAAAGACCTAGCACACAGGGGAGGTGTGTGTGTGCAGAGAGATGAGCTTGCTCCAAGCTGACGTGAAGTACTGCGCTAGTGACACATTTCTTTAAATGCCTCCTCACCGACTTTGTATTACAGGCTATATTAGTAGAATAGCTATATTAAAAGTAACGCAAAAGTAAGAAGAAACGCTCATCCAGCAATATGGAGTGAACAGATAGATGGCTGAAGGCTGGGGAAGTTCTCCCGAGTATTCTGTGCTCACTAAAATACTCGGTCAGATGTTACAATACTCATAACTTTCTGGGTGTTTGAAGCAGACGTTTTCTGTTTGTTTGAAGGCAAGTTCTCTCATCTGCTGACTTCCAGAATTCCCAAATATCACATCTTTTAGTTTTTCTGCGTTTGGAACTGGTCCTGCATATGCTGACAGTCTAAATGTGATTTGTCTTTTATGCTTCTCTTTAATTGCTCTTAGGCATGAATATGCCATTTTCAGAGATCTATCTGAAGGATTTCAGTATCTTTTCCCCAAGGCATAACAGCTATATTAGAGTCCATCCCTGTGTACGTACAGTTACAATTATTTTTTCCCTCTGGACTATTTTGTAACAGATTAATTTCTTCTGCTAGTCTAATGTCCTGTGACAAAGTGAAAGCCAATATGTTATTCCTACCTTGTTTTTAACTCCAGTTGCTATATTTAAACATGTTAGCAATAACTTTGAAGATTACCTTCTAAAGTCACATTTCAGACTTGCAAAATAACAGCCAGCAAGATTTCAAATCACCATGGTGACCAAGTGGGTGCTATTTATTCATTAACTATTCTTTAACAATACGTTAAAAACCTGCATGTAATTCCAGTAGTAGTAGTGGGAACATAATCACTGTGGAGACCTAAGAACAGGAAGCAATTTGCTCCGATGCTGTAAGACACTATAAATAGACCAGCAGAGCTAAAAACGCGAGAGCTTTTGTGTTGTCTTGGCTCAAAGCTCTGAAATTGAGCGTATGATAGCAAGATGCTTCAGCTACAGAAAACCCGCATGTTTCTTACAAATTACGGATCTGGTGTATAATCAGACACTATTGGTCCCCAAGTTTGTTTCACTTCATTTATGTCTCTGTGCTTTGTGATGCAATTGATTGTGGGCTGGTAATTAGCCAACACCGGTGTCAAAAGGAAGTGATTGCCTAGGTTGGGTTGGTTACGTGCAGCAAAGATGCAGAAGGCTTATATTCTGGTTATAATGTAAGCTTGAAATGACTGGATGACATTTTAAAAAAGGATAAAAGGCTGCAGACCTCTGTGAATAACTCAAACTCCTGTGGCTCCAAAATCCTATCTTTAAAAAATAAAAAATCCACCATTAATGTAGCAGGTCAATTATTCTCACTTCCTTGCTAGATACCCTTGCGGTCGTGTATAGCTGCTCAGAGCAGACGGTCTGGAGGTGTGCCACTCTACAGCAAACTTGTGACAAGTCCGTACGATTCCTGATCTGACTGCATCTTCTTTTTCTTGGCCAGAAAGTGGAACTTCATAGGTCACTAATTTTTGACTAATTTTCCCTAATACTTGCATAGATCAGATTTTAGTTAGACTGGACTGCAGTGAAGCGATGGAGTTGGTGCTTCACCAGTTATATCTATGAATATTCTATTGGAGCACAAACGCTGTGTTAAGATTAAAAGCTGTGAACAATAAAACTTTGAGACAGGTTTGGGGGTTTTTTTGGTTCAGAAATACATCCATCAAAAATTTATTATTTTTCTTAGCCAGAAAGTAGTCAGAATATTTTATGAGACCAAATATACTTTTTAATTTTTAGGCACTCTCTTCCTGAAGATGCAGGGAGCTATTTTAATGAAGAGACAAGAGTTCTGGAAGTTCCACTGACGATACTGATCATGGATAAAGTTAGTGATTTTTATTACGCTGGTTATCAGGCTGACAATAGATGGAAATTATTTTAGTGAATGTTGGTTTAATGATACCTAATCTTAGATTAGTTATTTACTAGTTGAAGTCCTATAATAATAGTAAAAGGTGCTTAAAGTGGTAATACAGATTTAATAGTTTCTTCTTGTCAGCATGTTTACAATACAGAAAGTTAAATCCTCTCTAGTTAGTGCGCAGCTGTTCCCTGGTAGTTGTTTTGTACCAGAGACTTACCAGATAGCATGGCACAAGCTTTTTATTCTGATCTGCACTGCAGATGTAGCATATTCTTAGAGTTTACATTTCCTGGAGATGCAGGTGTGATTCCATTCTAGCGTATGGAATTTGAGATATGGATATTTTTTTAAATTTTGCTTATCAAAGAGACATTTCCTAAAGCTTATTTTTGGAGAACAATGAGGCTGAAGTTCAAGATAGATATGTTACATTTACATATGTTAGTGTCAAGGAACAGTGCAGAAAAACTTTTTGCAGTTGTATTTTTGGATGACATTTCACTTAAATCCTGTCCTTACAATGCTACAGATGGAGGCTTTTATCCTGTATTCTTCCATTTGTTTCAGGCTAAAAAAGTTAATCTTACTGTCCATGCAATTGTTACTACTTCGGATTTGGAAATCAGTCCAGCACAAATCCATTTTGGATACTGCACAATCTACGAAGCTGTGCAGGCAAATGTCACGCTGACAAACAAATCCATCTTGCCACAAGAGTTTGGATTTGTGGGACTCCCAGAGGTACGTAGTTATCCCACACACACCTCATCTTGTATCAAAATATATTTAATTGTTATGAAAACATATTGCAATGTGAGTGTAAATAAATCCTGACGGTTTCTTGCAAACCCATGGACGCACTGCTGCCTGCAGCACTGTGCAAACACACAGATGAGTTCTGGTACTGGTGTCGGTGAATTTCACCTTGTTATACCCTAAGCATTTTCCAGGCAGTATAAACACCTTGGAGAAGGTTTTACTATTCTCACCTGCGTAACATCAATAGAATAAAGTTAGCCTAATAAAATACCTTTTTTTTTCTTTTTTTTTTTTTTTACACCAAGAAATCTACTAACAGAATACCTGGTACACTTTTCTTTCAGGCTCACATGTCACTTCTGCTACTAAACAAAACAGGCTTAGGGATGTTGCTTTGGCTTTGAGGCTGGGGAATCTCGTGCAGTTTGGATCCAAATGCCTAAACCCTTTGTCTTTAAAGCAGGACGGCCGTGTCCAGACTGCTTATTGGGAATCATCCCCTGAACCATGCCTAGGTATTTTCTGACTGGCTGCAAGCTGACTGGAAGCTAAATTAATCACAGGAGCTGCCAGTTCCGTGTGGGCTAGGTCTGCTGAGGGTTTGGTGGGGGTTTTTTTGCAAAAAGTTAGCTGTTCAAGCTTCAGAATAGCATGATGATCAGAGTGTGAAATGGTTTGGCATATTCCAATTGGAGCTAGAGGAACCTGACATTTAATTAGGCATTTTCCCTTTCTCTGCTGTTTTAGGGATTAAAATCAAGGAGTTAGCTAAAAGAAATTGGAATCTTCAGCTTTTGTTTTTTTGAGCTGGTACTTGCGCCTGTGGTATCTGCCCATCATACAGGGATCAACTCTTCAAAGATACAGGAGGAACTCTTAAGATTGTTATCAAATTTCATACAATTTTCTCTGAAGAGTAAATAAACATTATTAGAGAAAGGTGATAACCGTAGTTGCTAAGAAGCTGGGGAATAAATTCTACTGAAGTCTGCGTTAATGGATTTAATGCCTTTCAAGTTACTCTGAGATGAGAAAAATGCATGTCAGTCAGACTCTAGTCACCAACTCCCATGAAGGCTTCTCACTAGATTTCTGTTTTCCTGACACTTGTACATTTAGTAACAAAATTTTCTTATCTTGCCAGTAATGTCTTATTTTATTTATTTAATAAGTTGATAACTAATATTTTATTATTTTAATAACAATAATTTCTTATCCTGACATTTTGAAGTTTGTTGAAATTCAGCCCAATGATGGACTTGGAATTCTTCTTCCCCTTGAAAGCCTGACATTGGACATAATCTTTAAAGCTAACAAGGCGAAAGAATACAGCTTTGAACTAACCTGCAAGTCAGAGATTAATAGGTATGTTATGAAACTGATGGAGTAGTAGGTAATCTAGAAGTCTAACTCACGCCGGATTTCCACTGTTAAGCTAGTTCAGAAATTAAATCCCTCCCTACTTTGAAGAGGTAAGGCCAGGATAAAAATGGGAGGCAGGTGGGAATTCTCCAGTTGACAAGAGTGGCTCAGTTCCCGTTAGTTTTGTCCTTTGTTTACGTGTCTGTCTCTACTGAGATGACATTTACTATCCCACCTGAAACTTATCCTTGTCACATATCCAAGCTGCAAGTTTCCCTCAGGTCCTCTTAACCTGCAATGTTATGCTTGCTTTTTCGGCAGAATTACTGAAGGTTTGTTTTTTGGTTTTTTTTTTGTAAAAATGCTTCATACATTAAGCTAATGCTACTAAAATAATGATGGCATAAACTTTGATTTGACTGGATGTATTTCCAGAAGTTCGCAGAGGAAGAATTCAAGTAGGGATTCTAGCCAACTGTGTATTAAAAATAGATAGTATTATTGTTCATCTTTAGGCAAAATTCCCATTGCAAGCTTGAAATTCTGCTTAAATAGGGACTACAGGATTAGTTCCCTGTTTTCCAGGCTGATTAAGAGACTATTTTATGCTGAGACAATTTATCATGTGTTTATTTTTAGACAATTCAAGCTGTCATGCAAAGCAGTTGGAGTCCACCCACCTCTTGAATTGTCTCATTCCTTAGTTCAGTTTGCTGCCACAGCTTTAAACGGTGTGTCTACAGCAACACTGTACGTGATGAATGCCCACGTGAGCGCCAGCCGCTTTACTCATGCTGTCCCAAGAATTGGCAATGGGGAAGCTGCCCTTGTTGGACCCACTTCGTTTGAATTCCGTGTGCCCAAAGACTGTCCAGTGACAATCACACCTTCTGTGGGAGCTGTGCTGCCTGGGAAGGTAATGTCACTTTAAATGCCAAGTGTTCTGCCAAATCTTTTGATCGTGTACCTCCCTACAAATGCTGTCACTTGTAAACGCAGCTCAAAACATAAATTATTATTAGAATAGCTGGAATATTTCCCCAGTGTTGTCCATGATGATCTATTTGAAGAATGTTTAAATATCAAAGCTATTGGTCATGTAAAACCAGCCCACTGTAACATAGTGGACTTGCCAAAAGGCTGCAAGTGACCCTAGCCTTTGGATCATCTTATTCACTTGGAAAAAAACCTGTATTTTATTTGTTAATTTTTGGTGTCATGTATATGCTCTTATTGAGCTTTGGAGGTATAGCACACACATGAGAGCTGAATTTTGCCTGTCTTTGTTGTGTGTGCTTTCTCCCTCCCAGAAAAGCTTGATTCAAGTGTCCTTCAGACCAACACTGCCAGATCAGCTAATCAGAGAAGAGGCAGTTCGGAGGCTTTGCAGAGCAGCTGCGACAGGGGCAGAAGTACAAGTAAGGAATGCTAAGAATGAGCACATGCAGTTGGTCTGTTACTTCCAGATATTTGTTTCTCTGGATGGTATTTTTATCATAAAATTATTTGCATATTAATGAAGCCCAAACTCATGTAAGGCCTGCCTATAAACAGCAAGAGTATGACTGTACTGTTGCACTTAATGTGCAGTCTGTTCACTGAGCAGTAATTCTGTTTCATGCTAACAATTTCAAAAGCATCCCTAAAGGATTTTCTTGCAAATGCTAACTGCAAGTACTCTTAAATAAATAAAAAAAAAGTTCCTACACTTCTTGCAGATTCACAGCATACACGGACTTTCTATGCAATGCTGTGGGTCAGTTAGTTTATGTAAGCACCTATGGTTGTCTTTATTTATGAGGTAAATAGGTAAAATTCCCATGAGAGATAGTCTTTTACTCATCTGCTCCAATAGGGGAACTCTTTTTTTTTTTTATGGGGTAAAATATGTCCATTTCAACTTAATTTACATTATTAGAAATATGTGTAATAACTGGTGTGCCTATGGCTTGTTACCATAGCCCTACTGCTGTTTCCTTGTTTCATGCACTCTTTCACCTCTTAGGTTCTGTATCCTTGGGCCGGGCACTGGGTATTTGTAAAGTGATGTCATGATTGGATTCCCAGTGATCACCCTCAGTGTATAATGTCTCTGTGTATTTGCAGAAGAGGAAGAAAGATGAAAGGAGAGAGGGAAAGAAATCAAGCATTTCCGTTACCAGACAGCAGTCTTCCAGCCAGCTTGTAAGGGATGGAGGCAGTAAATACCTGACTTCTCTGTATAGTTCTGAACAACAAAAATCCACGGAGTTACAACCTGAGTAAGTCAGCAAAAGCATCTTGTGCTGCATAGACAACATTCTCTTTACAAGCAGTTTAATAAATCTACTACAAGCTATAGGTAGACAAGAAAGCAGTCTGTGGAGAAGAAACAGCTTTAGCGATGTTGCAAAGGCTGTTTCCAAAATTAGTGCTGCTTTTAAGCCACACAGCTGTACCCTCTCATGTAAGGCAAAGAATCCCGTTATGCATCAGAGTGCTTGAAGACTTCAAAGAATGTGTCAGAAAGTGTGAGATGTGGCTCTACAGGCAAATTTGGCTGAACCAACAAGGGTAGTATTTTAAAGGGCAACTAGAAAGCTGAACTTAGTTGCCAGCAGAAACTGCTACTAATGTCCCTTTTCTGAATAGGTCTAATGGAGCTGAATACATTCAACCCAGATGGAAACCCTCTGATAGCTCATACCCATGAGTCTGGGTTAATTTTTTTTTTTGAGGGCTTGCATAGTCCATCATATTAGTGATGGTCATCTTCAGTCCTGGAAAATGAGTGATGCTGTAAAATGTGCATTTTAAATAGTCGTGTTACAGTATGTGTACCTCAGTGCGAATTACCATTAATAGCATGTGCTATCTAGAAATCTGGATACTCAGATGCAAAATCTGATACTTGAGGTCCCTTGTTTAGCATAAATTCAACTTTTTAGAACCACACTTCTGCCTAATCTGAGGAATTTAGAAGTGATTGGAAGTTAAATACATGCTTAAACACCAGGCATATTTGGCTGTATTGGAGGTTAGAAATTTTTGAATAAAATTCCATGTTCATTATGAGCTATTATATATTTAAAATACTTTCAGTACAGGTCATAAAAATAAATTTTATACTTGAAAATTCCCATTGTGAAGTATCGGTTGGCATATTGCGTTACAGAAATGTGATCATGGGTGTTTACATAGCATTGAAATAATGCAGAAGTACTGGAATACTTGATGTACTCAACATAAGGAAATGGCATTGAGGATTTTGCAGTCTTTAGTATAACATCTGTTATCTGGGTTTATAATTTTTATTCTCTTTTGGCAAGAAAAGCAAACCACTTAGTAGGGTGGGTCCATTACTGTGCATCAAGGCAGTTGCTTAGTTTCACTGTTGTGTTCAATTTTGACTGTATGACTAAGGAACAGTAAGCACAAATAGCTCAGTAGATATCCATTTGATTTTTTTTTTTTCTTGCTTTCTCACTTACTAAGATGATTCTTATTCCTGGATTTTCTAGTTCTGATGCTTATATGGCAGCCCAGGCTTTCCTGATGAGGAATTTCAGTGGGAGGTTTGAAAAATATATCATACCGTGCTTTGTTGCAAGTGGACATATTGATGAAAAGAAAGGCTCTGAAAACCTAAGCTGCAGGTATTCACAACCAGATATGTGCAATTAATGATCGTTCAGAAATTTGAGGGGAAAATGGTGGGCAGGTTAATTTCTTCATTTGGGAAGGGAATTAGTTTTCTGACCTTAAGTACTTGATAGGTCAGTAGTGGAAACTCATGCTTACAACCCATTAGTTGGTTAAGAATCAAACAGATTGATATCAAAGCAGCTTAAAGAATAATTGGATGAAAAATTTAAGGCAGAGGTAGTTCATGTTTCTGCTTAGGCATACACAAAAAGTCAGCTGCCAAAAATTATGTATTGTTTTGTAATACCAATTGAATGATATCTTGTCATATGAACTGAATAAGAAGAGATTTCTGACAATAGTTTTTATGTCTGTATGATCCAAGAGCAAATACCTTCTCCCTGTCTCTAGCCCTCACAACACCTTGTATCTGGAGTTGCACTGTCCAGCTGTAGCACCGTCTGTTGTGGTCACTTCAGATAATGGAAGAAGCACAGTAAATTTTGGTGATGTTGCAGTAGGTATGAAATTTGAATTCAGGTTTTGAATTTTTTTCTGTCTGATGTTAATTTCTTCTGAGCATGGATTTGCATTTTCTTTTACACGGTTTAGTTAATTTTCAAAAGGCAATAAGGAAATTAGCCCTCTAATAGGTACTTAGGTGAAAAATTAGGAGCCTGTCTGGCTGGCTGAGGCATGTAAAAAGCTGACATGAGCCTGAAACATGGAACAGGGAGCTTTACAAGTGACTGTCCAAATCTGGAAGTGTTTTGGTGAGCTTTGACTAATGTGTCAGCCATAGCAGTGGAATGACTGTTTGGCCCAGGTAGAAGCAGGAGTGAAAAGGAGGAAGGATAATGCATGAGTGAGCTTCACTACTTTTTGAAATGTGTTCATTTCCGTCAGGCCACAGGATGATGAAGCGAATTGCAATACAAAATATCTCCCCAGAGAAGCTGGAAGTATCCTTGTTTGGAACACGTAGTTAATCTGCCGTTCAGCTTCTGTTTAATTTGCCTCTTTGTCTGTAGGAGGAACTGTTTGACACTAAAGCAAGTAGGAGGTAGCAGATTTCAGACTCAATACACATCTTTCAGAGCGAGACAGGAGGTGATGTGAAGAAGGTACTAGATGAGCCTAGGTGACCTACTGGAAAGCTAATGCCATTCTACCCCGTTAAATGGAAATAATGCTGCATAGAGCCAAGCTTGAGAAGCACTTAAACACTTCCTAAAGAGTACGAGGCACTGATGACACAGCTAGTTTCAATACAGTCTGACGTACGTGTGAAACAGAACCAACAACTCAGTTTCTGCAGAGTGCTTCCCTGGATTTCTGAATACCTTCTAAAAACAGGCTGCTACACTGGCCTGTCTGAGTTAAGCTGTGTGCAGTAATATAGGAGAAGGCATGGCCCAGCTCTTCAGGTGTTAATGACCCATTCCAGGCAAAATCTGAGAATGGAGTTACTTTGAGATCTTAGTAACTGGAAAAGGATCTTGCAGCTATTTGAATTCCATGGGTAAGAAAAGTAATTGGATTAGTTCTTCTTTTCTCTGAGTTAAATATTGATCTCTGAAAAAGCTTATAGGTGGTTAGTTTATACACTGTTCTTACCTTTCTCTCCCCAGTCCTTGTTTATAAACTGTTTTCCTTGAGTTGCACTGTTTTAGCTAGGATTCTCTGTTCTGAATCCCAACGGTCCCTTCCTGTTGGTGAGACCAGTTGGAATGCTTGAGCCAGGTGAAAATAAAACCCTCGTCGTCTCTTTTTGTCCAAATGAAAGTAAATGGGTGAGTAAGAGATACAACAGCAATGGGGGAAAAGAGGAGAGACGGAGGGATGTAACAGGCTGTGCAATATGCACATATTACTGACTGGGATGAGGCCGTATAATAGCAAATACTTCGTTGCCTGTGCGTAGCCCCTCCCAGCATTTGGATATTTCTCTGCGCGCTAAATCCAGAGGTTCCCTAGTAATGGCCCGTTTGTGGGAGGGGGTCAGTTGGGAGGGGTGGGGGGTGTCTTCCTTCGGCAAATGGCCTAACACAGACATCCTCTTGGCAGTTTTTTGATATGCTGGACATCCGGACGGCAAAAAACAGTCTGACCCTAAGTCTGACTGGTCATGGGGTGATACCATCAATTGTTTGCTCTGTGGGAGAAGCACTCGATATGGGATATGTCATCACCGGAGAGAAGGGGACTTCCACTTTCAAGGTAAATCCCCCTATGCTGAACCAGGAAGCACACCAGCAGTTTTTGTAGGGAGGAAGAAGGGTTCTATAGTTTCTAGTCTGGCAGAACGTAAGGCTGAATGGCAAACTGTAGACAAAAGAATGTAGCTTTAAAAGCACGTCTGGCAGAGCGATTTGGCGCTGAGACAGTTTCAGGCCAAAGGTAACAAAGCTGTGCAGGAGGATCTTGTTATCTGCTTCTGTCCTGCCTGCAGCCTATACAGCAGAGATCCAGTACCTGTTAGAAAAGAAAAGACCTGTGTGATCTGCTCCGTACAGCCAGCCAGTCTGCAGAGGGATGTGAAGTAGTAGTAGTAGTGTGGTAATGCAGCAAAATAAATTCAGCCAGTTCACTAAATATGGATCCTACAGGCTTGAGAATCAATTTTCCTAATGAAAATGCTGTTGTGTGAATTAATGTCATCAGATACAGAACACTTCCACCCTGACCCTGCGGTACTCCATACGACTAGATTCGCTTTCACCAACAAGGGACAGAGACCAGCAGAGAATTCCATGCTTTCTTACATCGTCTTTGCAAAGAACAGAGTTTGTTGGTAAGCTGGTTCTTTTTCTTTTTTCTTTTGTTAGAGACTCATGAAGTATAAAGCAGCATCACTTCATCTTGTTAGATCTACACGACTGTCAAAACCTGGGCATCACATCACTGCAATTAAAGACACAGTTTTGTTTCCCCAGTAGGAGCTGTACTAATTCTTTCAGTGTGGGTAGCTGTAAATTTATGCAGCCTGAGCAAATATCCACAAGTAAGGAGATCCCTGTGTTTGACTCTAAATAAACCCGCACAGCTATGCGTGTTAAAGACTGTATTTAGGGATGCCCATCTCTATAAAAACATGTTAGAATATAGGAAGGGTTTGATGATGCTTCTTCAGTTCCTCTAGAGATGAACGTGTTAAACTGATAGTTGGAGTTATCTGGTATTTCTAACACTCTGGTTTGCTGCAAAACCATGCATCAGGTCTTACTTATTTGCTGTTCCAACAAAAAGTAAATGGGTTTAAGATATATGAAGCAGTAAAATGGAGCTGTCCTCCTTTCTTATTTGTACCCTCATTTTTATTTACCAGGAACACAGAATTATAATGGCTTAAGTGTGTTCAGCATCTTTCCAACAGAAGGAGAAATTGTTGCTGGGAAGAGTCAGGATTTTGTTGTTACTTTCAGTCCTGATCATGAAAGTCTGTACTATTCTGACCGTCTCGAGGTTGTGCTCTTTGGGAAGGTAAGACGATCAAGATGCCTGGATTATGAAATCAAATTCTAAACAGGACCTACAGTGATTTTTCTCAGCATGTGTCTTGATACAATTATTTGAAACTCCTATTTAGTGGACAGCATTTGTAGGTGGAAATGGTATCTTTATCAGATGAAGTGACGTAGGTAGGAAATGGCAGGTTTGGGGCCCACAGACTTTTTTTTCAGGTTTTAAATATTCAGTTATTAATTCATGACAATAGTGACTTGGGATTCGGTCCTGTCTTCTGCCTGGCTGTCAGCACTGGGTAAACCAGAGCTGATGGGAGCGAGGTTGCTGCCACGCAGCTGAGTGCAGCTCTGAGTGGGATCTCTGCAAGCAGCATTCGGTGGTGGTGGAGAGAGGAGCTCTGCCTGCGCAGTGCGAGTGACAGATGCCCTGAGTACCAGGAAGCTGCTTCTGCAGCCGCTCAGCGTGAGGAAGGGGGTTTCCATCTGCAGAGCCGCAGTTGAGCTCAGATGGAGCTCGAGGCAGGATATACAGGCTGGCAGCATAGCAGGGGGCTTTATGCCGCCTTCCAAGAGAGACTGACCAAAAGTTAATGAAGAGTGCCAGCTAAGGACCATCGGCAGGCACTGCAGACACGGAGCAGAAACTGGTAGTGAACAAGTAAGCACTGTTTCTCTGCTTTCAAGTTTTTTGTATCTCCATATTACCTTTGCAGTTGTGGTACAGAATGCAAATCGGGGTAAGCTGAAGGTGCATGGAGACTAACTCTAGTTCACAAACTTCAGCCAAGTTTGGTGGCAAGATAAGTTTTGCCTCTTCGGTATAAATAGGTTACCCAGTTCCCTCCTGAGGCACATTGCCCAGGAACGAAAGGCTGTTTGAAACAGGAGTGCCTGAGTGGACAAGACAAGGGGAAGATGCAGGATTCTTGCGTCAGAGTCCAGGGCCTCTTGGCTTTTACGTAGGCAGATGATGTAATGATGTCTCTGCAGCTGATGCTGTTTGTCAGTATTCCAGATACATTGGTCCTTAAGCTGTAACCTGTGTTTGAAGTGTTCTTGTCTTATCTAGAAAACAGCCCATGTGATCCACCTGAAGGGCGCAGCAAGGGATCATCCCATGTTTGTGGAAGGGGGGGTTCCACTAGACGTGCCCGTCGAGTCCTTGGCTGTAACACGACCTCTGTCATCCCAGCAGGCACTGAAAGGAGGTAATGTGCTAACACTGACACCTTATTGCAAAACAGTGAGGGATAAGACATGGGCGTGTTCCTCATTCTTTAACTAAAAATAATTCAAGATAACTTTTCCAGAATCAGAACAAATAAGCATTATGGTATAGCCTATATTTGTAACACACACACACAAAAAAATATGCAGGAAACCTTCTCTTAAGGAAAGGTTTTCTCTTAATTTTAATGTAGTTTTAATGAAGATCATCTATCTTTGTAACTTACCTTGCAAAAAATGATTATAATCTAATGCTACTATAAAGTATTTGCTTTCTGCTGCTTCTCTGACTTGTGTTAAATGTTTATGAAATTATGTCATATACAGTAATATATCCTGGACACTCCCAATTGTACCGTTATGAAACAGACACGCTTTCAGGGCTTTGAATTTATCCTTCCCTAATTTCTTTGGAAACAGTATATAAGCAGCTCCTAGCACCTAAGCTGTAAATAAATCCAGGCACGCAGCATACACCAATAGGAATATTGTATGTGCTACGGGGCTAGAAAATGAGCATGAACCTTGAGAAACAATTAAAAATTACAGTTTGCAATTGAAAATTTATGTAAAACGTCCTTTTGCTTAATTCTTCACTAGCTCTGTAAGAAGGGTCTCCTTGTCTATGCCAGCTCATGCATTTGCCACAACATCGCTTTGTTTTGAACCATCCTGGTGTAATTTCCACTTGCTTCAAACTGATAATCGCTCAATTTTGACTGTCTCAAAGTTTACTTCATTCGTATTTGTTTAGAGCTACAAGTACCAGTGAAGTCCCTGCTCCTCATCCTGGAGTACACCGAGGGAGAGAGTTCTCCAGCGACGGCAGAACTGAAAGTTGGAGCTATACAGACAGCTCAGTTTGCGTTGAAGAAGGTGAAGGAAATAAATGTGTCATAAATAATATGACATAATGTATAACACAGATTATGTCAGACGCTGTAACGAATACTGACAGTGTACAAATGGCTACTAGTTCTTTCAGTCAAAAATTCAGGCTATAAATTAAAAAATACAGCTTTCAGGGGTTCTGATAAACTAGGCATTATAAAAGCATCAGTATTTGAAAAGAAAATATTATTTTTCAGGGGCTAGTATGAGGAGTTAGGGCTATCGTATTAAGTCAGCGACAAAATTAATTGAGCAGTTTGCTTCCCCAATTCTGAAATGCCAAGGTCTGAGCACAGAACTGAATTACAGGTCTGATCCTGTTGTTTTAGTGTAGTATTTTGTGACAACTTGACGCAGTGAAGACGACAGACCCTGGCAGTTTCGCAGGGCAGAAGCAATTTGGTGCACGGCAGGCCCGCACACAGCACCCGGGCCGCGCAGCCTTGAGCCAGCAGCCTGGCGCTGGGGGAGCGGTGACGAGGGTGCTGTGCCGGTCTCTCCTAGGGCCTGGAGTTCGCGTTTGAGGGGCTGCCGCTCCTGCAGCAGAAGGGCTTCGCTCTGGACGCCGAGAGGGGAACGGTGGAGCGTGGGCGAGTGAAACGCATCGGCGTTTCTTGGGTGCCGCCTGCTGACTTCCGAGTAAGTGACAATTGCTACAGCTTGTTGCTGCTTCCACCGGGAAAGCGCGGCAGCTGTTCTCACCGGCTTGTAGGAGCAACCCAAAAGCTGATCTCGAAGCTGTCAGCAGTACAGGCTGCTTTGACGTGTTAGGATGACGGAACACGTGTAGTTACCCAAGGGAGTATAGGCCGGTATAAACACCGACATGAGAATGAAAGCCAGGGACAGTGTGTCTGATTTGGAGGCTCGCTACCTCACCATGGACTTCCACTCATCATCTACGTGATGAAGAGAACAAGCATCAGTCACTTGCTGCTTAGAGAATTTAGAATAACTTACAGGTCACGGCATTATATAGCACCAAAAGGCCAAAATGGTGCTGCTGTTCACCAGAAGATGCAGTTCTGATCACACTGAAGCGAGATTTTTCAATGCTCCCTGTGCGAGAAACTGCCACAGAACTCAGTTTACATGGATCATTCTGCTACGGTGTTCACATTGCTTTGGGCTGGGGGCTGCCTTGCCTTTGGTACATCCCTGGAAGTCAGTGGGGCCTTTTTTGAGTTTCCGCTTTATGAACTGCTTCATGAACTGCTTCATGAACCCTATTTCCCTGGCTATTTCTGTCTTTTTGTGTTGCAGAGTCTGGGTATGAGGGCCGAATGTCTTTACAGGGCTGTGACTGCTCTTCCTGATTCATAGTCTCAGGCATTCATGGAAACTGCAAGAATTTACTCCCTTGCTTTTTGTTGTGAGCTGTGTGTGGGATGGCAGAATGAGTAGCTTGTTCCAAAATTAAAAGATTGCTGCTATCACGTGCAGAAAGAAGGCAGTAGATTTCCTGGCATGATGTATGAGGCTGGCATCGTGCCTCTTGGTAACCACTGGTTGTTACACAAGATTTAACGCTGACTGATAGCCAACAGGATCCATCGCTTTCCCAACCCTCACTGCAGCGCACTCTGTTGCTGCTGTGCCCAGTTGTCATGGTTGTTGTGTGGTGACGGTATCCGTAGCACTCTGGAGATCGAATGCTTAGTCATTGCTATTTCACTTACTGCAGTATGAGCATTGCGTGAGAATGTAAAGGAGCCAACGCAGTGGGAAGGGAGATAATCTATAGCTGTAACTGGTACAGCTTACAACTGAGATGTAAAATACATCGTTTAGCACCTGATCGACTAATCTGTTCTATGTACAAAAAAAAAAGGTTAGTTTTATGTGTGGATTTTTTTGTAGGCTGATGACCCTCTGCTTGTGACAGCCCTCCTGACCTTGAAAGGTGACATCAAGGAATCTTACCGTATTCTCTTTATGGCAAAAGTTGTGTCTGCGCACTCTCCCACTATGTGAGAGACCCAAGCTAAACGGAAAGGAAGATACAGGCTCCTGTTACTGGGGAGTCACTGGATCTCGGCTGAAACAGGGGAAGATTTTGAGATTGTTGCAAAGGTACGAGGGGAGCAGAGAAGCAGGAAGAGAGGTGACGTGTAATATTTCTGCTTTTTTCCCCACAAAATTCTGTGTAAACTCTGGTTCCACTAGTTTCATTTTCCGGCTGACTCTGTGACAATAATCTTGTGATGGAAGAAAGACTGAATGAGGGGCCCACGTAGATACATCTGCCATTAATCGGTGTCTTCCAAAGGTGGGCAGTCCCTCAGGAGGAGTCGCTTTTTGACGTCTACCTGGGTGAATTTCAAACAGCGTATCTTTTTCCAGTTTCAGATGCATTTTAATGTATTTGGAAAATCCTTAGTTTTTTCCCCTCTTAAGACCAGAATAAAGCTTCTTATTCAAGTCTCCTCCAAATGGTTTGGACAGTCATTTTTACAATACCCTGCAAAATCTTCCTGATGACGCATGGTCAAGCAGGAAATAGTGGCCACACTGTTCATTGAATCGCTGGATATGGTCAGACACTGGTCCCAGATCCTGGCTGTCCAGGAACTTGGTGTTTCTGTGTTTGCTTTCCTCTGAATTCTGACTAAGAGTAGATTTCTGCCTGTTACTGGGGAAGCTGGAGTGCCCTGCAGGTATGACTTCTGTCAGGAAGCAGTAGCTAGTTCAGGGAAAAGTACAGAGGCACTACACTATGGAGAATGAAGGGACCAGGAAGTTAGCAGACATGTAGAGACATAAATGATCTTTCAAATCTTATATCGCGCTCTTTCTTGAATCACAGTAAGTCTGTGGCAGAACTCCCTCACCACCACTCCAAAGGCATATTGCCATTTGGCCCTATGTAACTGTTAAACTTGCTTATTCAGATTATGCAGGAAGAAAACAGACTCTGTAAATATCCGTGAGGTGAAATGTATCGGGCTAGCTGGACTGCGGGAAGAAGCAGTAAAGCAATTGTCACAAGTACTTCAACTGCTTTCACCCTTTTGTAGAGGAAGCTTGTGTGGCTGATGAAGAGGGGCTCCTTGTTTTTCCACAGACAGTTAGTTTGATCCATTCAGATCTGTTCTCATTTAATAACAGATCAAGTGGCTGCGAAGCTACTGAACTCCTCAGTCTGAGGCCCTACAGCTGCCAAAGCCGTGACCCGCCACCGCGGGGGAAGAGGAGCTGGGAGGGGGTGGTGGTGCCAGCCAGAGACAGCTCTGCCTGCATGAGGGAGGCACCGAGCGCTGGACAATGACGTTTGTGTGCTGGTTCTCTTGCCGTCCTTCCAGCACAAAAAGGGAGATTATATACTGCTAGGTAAAATGAAACTGCTGTGAAATAGCACTGCACAGTGGACAGTTACCTAATGACAGGGAGGTTTTCGGAAAGCAAGGAAGGGCAGAGCATGTCGGAGCGGAAGGTTTGTTTCAGGCAGTTGATTTGGGGATGTCCATTGTGTTGAGGAGCCTTTGGATTTCACTCTTGGAAACTGAAAAGTAATGGCTGAGAATAAATTAATCTCCAAACACTCATAACCATATAATGTAGGTCAGGTACTGTGAAAATATCCAAAGGATTGAAAAAAAGTAAAAAAAGTTAAACAATACATTTAAAAAATGTGACGATGTTGAAAAAATGCGGAGGTTGCTTGTAAGAGTAAGAAAAAGGCCTAGTAAGCAGAAAGAAGGTGTCTACCTGAGGACAGGCTCGTCCAACCAACAGCATTTGCTGGGACACGGAGTCTGAAAGACTCGTAATAACTTTGGAGAGCTCTGGGAGGGCCCACTCAGGTGTAGAAGTTGGAGGGTCAAGCACACAGCATTGCCTGAGCGCCTTCAGAAGGTTAACCTGGTTATGAAGAGCAGCGGCCACTGACCAGCTCAAGTCATTGCCTGTACTGAGTAAGCTTAAGGTAAGCAAAGGGTGTGACCCATTGTTAACTGTGTTCTTTGGACTTGATGTTGAAAACTCATATGAATAATTTCACAGAATTGAAGCGAGCGTAAGGTTTTGGGTTTCAATGGTCAAAGTTTCCGTGCTTAAAGCGAAGTGTGTATTCATTCTTTCCAGGGGGAGTGTTGAACCATGATAATGAGAATAGGTTGCTATTTCTGGAGTACTGAAAATAAAGAAAACTATGCTTGCAACACACCAGCTGACACTCTGTGAAGCATTTAGGGAAATATGAAGGTTTTTAATTCTCTTTGATGAGAGAAAAGCCTGTTATTTTATCTTGGGCCTCAAAAGTAATCAGATTTGACTTCTTGGCTGATCCTTGTGGGACTGGGTTTTCCTTTCTGCTTGCATGGGTTTTGTTCTCCTGGCATACGTAGTTCAATGTGCCCAGCTCCTGCATGAAGTAATGATCTGAGACACACACTGTCAGGCTCCTGAAAATTTAGGAATTCTAGGTAGATGCTTCTACCTAAACAATTCTTATGTACAATGTATATGAAAATAGCTCCTTGATCTTTCTCCAATACAGGAAACAGAAAATTGACTGAGGTGACGGACTGCTGGAAGCAATTCCCCTGCTACCTGAGACACACCAAGCTGAACTAGACATAGTGGGTTTGTAGGTAATTCCTCCAGGACGTAGCTGAGAGAGCTATTGCGTTCTACTTGCATGGCTTCACGCCAAGTTCACAGCTACCAGGAGGAGCTCACCACGGCAGCTCTAGCCTTCATGCAAATTGGTCTTTTGAAGAAGCAAAAAACCCCGTTCCATACTGTGCTTCCAAAGCAGGTTGTCAACAACCACAGCACATCTGGTATTGTGATTGCCAGGGGATTCTAACTGTCTAGTCTGATGTTTCTGTTTCCATATTATAGGGCTCCAGTAGGGAGGGAGGCCTTATTCTGAGGAGAATACAGAAAAAAGCTAACTTCAGAAATAGATCTTAGTTTCCTAGAAGCTTAAGTTCTCTACTCCTCTAACTGCCATTCTGAGCGCTATGCTTTCAGGCTGAGTTTTGCAACTGTGATGACTCTTGGATCACTGGACCCAAACTCTTGTGCTTCCAGATTTGGATCCAAATGCAAACATCATCTTCTTGGCTCTGATGCAGCTCTAGTTTCATAAGAGAGCAATTCACATCCCTGTGTGATCTTTATAATCATTACAAGCTATATCTAGCTCATTTCCAAAACAGAAAGGAAGTGAGAGGATAACTAGTAGTGTCATACGCATCTTATTAATACACATTCTGCTTCTCCAGCGACTTCAGAGATTGCTTCACACATATGAATGCAGCTTTTCTTAAATGAGCGATGGTCCCATGACCCTGAGCAGGCCTGTAGGAAAGTCCTTTAGTCAGTGTGCCACGTGCCATCACTGAGCCTTGACACACTGGTTTTGAGCCTTGTGGAGCAAACGTAGTGACTGTCAGCTGGAGAATGGCCTGTCGTGCCCGGTACTGTGCGTTGCTGCTCCCAAGGCCGCGATTGCCCCGTGTATTGGAGCTTATCCATGCTTGTTGTAGAAGACCTCTGTCAACGCAAGTCCAAATAGATTCTCCTCCTGTTGCATTAAAATGTATTTTAGAAAATAAAAATCATTGTATTTTGTCCTGTTCTCATTACCGGAGGAGCTTTTATACATATACCCACATAGACATCTCTCAGGATACCAGGAACCTCAACAGGCCATTCTTTCAGTTGATCATCTTCTTTCTTTTCCTGTTGAAATCTTTATAATCTATTAATTAGCTCCACTGCTTGGCAGCTCTAGGTGTCTTTCTTTTGGTTGCTTGTCCAGTCGTGGGTCATGATCGCCCTGATTCTGATCACTTCTTCCCCTGACTAACATCTTTTTCTGCAGTGTAACTGAGCTCTGCTACATCAGTGCTTCAAAGGTGTGCTTGGAAGCAGAAATAATCCTTGCTCCTTCGTATGGTGGGTACAGTTGGCCTTTGGCGGATAAGGTTGGCCTTTGGCACATGTTTTGTTCTTCCCTGGTGTCAGGAAGACTTCTGTAACTCGCAGCATGTCCTAACTGCTGCAGGGCTTTGAGGAGCTCTTTAACACCATGGGCGATGTACGAGCCTGTTAAAAGAGCTAGGCTTCACCCTGAAGACAGCTGCAGGAAAGCTGCCATGTGGCGATGAGCCAAATTGCTGTAATGATCAGTATGATCACGGCAATGAAGCATTGCTCCAGGAAGTTCCTACCGAAGGGTATCCACAGTAGTAGTTTAGGATGATGGTGCGCACGATGGCCACGGAGCAGCGTGCGGAGATTTCAGCTGCGTTTCTGCCTCTGCAGTGCTGGACACAGTCACTGCGCTCCGGAGCCAGCTCCTCTCCAGGGAGCGGTCCCCCCGCTCGCTCCTGCTCCGCGCCTTCGCGCCAGGCTCTGTCGGCAGGGGGAACGCTCGCTGTTCCCAGCCCTGGCTTCCACCTGGCGTCTCCCGCT